CTTTCAGGAGTTTGTGGGGAGTGTGTACAGGGAGATGTGGAAGAATCTGGTCTTAGCAATTCTGATACATAAGGCAGAAGTCATCCATTGTTTCACTGGAGTTACACCAGGGGGTAATTTGGCCCATGGGGCTCAGGGAACTCAGGATCCTGGAACTCTAGCCATAAATGCATCAAATTAATAACTTCCTCCAGGGCTGAGGAGGGGAGTCACTGCAATGTGCAATATCTGACATTCATGCAGACGGGCAGGGAAGGTTAGGGGGCAGGACCAGGGGATTATCAGCATATTGAAGAGCTCAGTACAGGCTGCTCTGTGGGAGATGGAGCCAGAAACTGCTAAAGGGTTAAAATAAATCATAATAGAATGAGCTGTTCTCTTAGTGTGTGTGACTGGGGAGGGGAGAGAGTGCGAGAGCACGAGCAAACGGAATAGAGACCTGCAACCAGAGAGACAGACACAGCTGTGGCCGAGGGACTTTCTCTTCGCCTGGCTGCCCAGTGCTATCAGAGGCTTTGTAGAATGTACTGCCTGCTTCTGTCTGACGAGAACCCATCAGAAAATTTCTCCATGGCTCAGAGTGGGGCCATGTGTGACAGCCACCCACCCCGAGGGAGGCAGCCAGGCTTTCTTCCAGCTGCCTCACTTCTCCTTTCTCACAGACCCCTTTTGAAACAGCCCTTTTTATGGCTTTAAAGTGAAGGCTGGTGGCTGGAGCTGTATTAGAATTCCCTGGGGAAACCCAGCTTTTAGGTGGTAGACCTGGGAGAGGGGCAGAATCCCTCGACACTGCAGCGGGCATATGCAATACTAAGCCACCCTTCCCCGCTTGCCCGTACATTTCACCTCTTGGCGTGCCCCACGTGATGTTCAGATTTGTTGTATGTTTAGTCCCGAGACGAATCCCCTCTGTTTGTGCTCAACTGGTCTGTTCCTCTCATGACACTGGTGCTGTCTTGAGGTTAGAGTTGCGATTTTTGTGTGCTTTGCCTAGAGATTTCCATGGGAAAACCATTTAATTTCAGAATATGAACGAGAGGCTGCTAGACAACTCTCTGACACCACATTCTACAGGCCATTACCCACTGAGGGTTACCAAAAGAAACTACACCATCTGCTCAAGAAACTCCCTAAAGAAGCACAGGAACAAATCTACACAGATACACCCCTAGAGCCCCAACCAGGGGTATTCTATCTGCTACCCAAAATCCATAAACCTGGGAATACTGGATGCCCCATCATCTCAGGCATTGGCACCTTGACAGCAGGATTATCTGACTATGTAGACTCCCTCCTCAGGCCCTACGCTACCAGCACTCCCAGCTATCTTCGAGACACCACTGACTTCCTGAGGAAACTACAATCCTTTGGCAATCTTCCAGAAAACCCCATCCTGGCCGCTATGGATGTAGAAGCCCTCTACACGAACAGTCCACACAAAGCTGGACTACAAGCCAACAGGAATAGCATCCCCGATACTTTCACGGCAAACCTAGTGGCTGAACTTTGTGACTTTTGTCCTCACCCACAACTATTTCAGATTTGGGGACAATTTATACCTTCAAGTCAGCGGGACTGCTATGGGTACCCGCATGGCCCCACAGTATGCCAACATTTTTATGGCTGGCTTAGAACAACGCCTCCTCAGCTCTTGTCCCCTACCGCCCCTACTCTACTTGCGCTACATTGATGACATCCTCATCATCTGGATCCATGGGAGGAGGCCTGTCATAACCATAGGGGTAGCCTAAATTCCTCCTTCCCTGTAAGGGGTTAAGAAGCTCAAGTAACCTGGTTGGCACCTGACCAAAGGAACCAATGGGGACAAAAGATACTTTCAAATCTGGTGTGGGGGAGAGGTTTTGTTTTGGGTTCTTTGTTTCTGTGACCGTTCACTCTTGGGACTAAGAGGGACCGGACATCAATCCATGTTCTCCAAATCTTTCTCAGCAAGTCTCTCATATTTCAAACTTGTAAGTAACAGCCAGGCAAGGTGTACTAGTTTACCTTTGTTTTCTCAACTTGTGAATTTTCCCTTTGCTAGAGGGAGGTTTATCCCTGTTTTGTTGTAACTTGGAAACTAAGGCTAGAGGTGGTTCCTCTGTGCTCTTTGAATTTTCTGCTACTCTGTAAGGTTAACTACCAGCCTAAGTTTACAGAGGTGATTCTTTTACCTTTTTCTCTTTAAATAAAATCCTTCTTTTTAAGAACCTGACTGAGTTTTCCATTGTTCTAAGACCCAGGGGTCTGGGTCTGTAGTCCTTTTGTAACCAATTGGTGAGGATACATGCTCAAACCTTCCCCAGGAAAGGGGGTGTAGGCTTAGGGGAATAGGACTCCAAGTGGTCCTTTCCCTGATTGTTTGTTAAATCACTTGGTGGTGGCAGCAATCCCAAGGCAAGAAAGGAATCTGTGCCTTGGGGAAGTTTTAACCTAAGCTGGTAAGAATAAGCTTAGGGGGTCTTTCATGCGGGTCCCCACATCTGTACCCCAGAGTTCAGAGTGAGGAAGGAACCCTGACAAGGCCCTTGAGGAATTCCACCAGGATTTCAACAATTTCCACCCCACCATCAACCTCAGCCTGGACCAGTCCACACAAGAGGTCCACTTCCTAGACACTACAGTGCTAATAAGCGATGGTCACATGACCACCACCCTATTACTGGAAACCTACTGGCAGCTATACTTACCTACATGCCTCCAGCTTTCATTCAGACCACATCACACAATCCATTGTCTACAGCCACGCTCTAAGATACAACCGCATTTGCTCCAATCCCTCAGACAGAGACAAACACCTACAGGATCTCTATCAAGCGCTCTTAAAACTACAGTACCCACCTGGTGAAGTGAAGAAACAGACTGACAGAGCCAGAAGGGTGCTCAGAAGTCACCTACTACAAGACAGGCCCAACAAAGAAAGTAACAGAACACCACTAGCCGTCACCTACAGCCCCCAACTAAAACCTCTCCAGCGCATCATCAAGGATCTACAACCTATCCTGAAGGACGATCCCTCACTCTCACAGACCTTGGGAGACAGACCAGTCCCCGCTTACAGACAGCCCCCCAACCTGAAGCAAATACTCACCAGCAACCACACACCACACAACAGAGCCACTAACCCAGGAACCTATCCTTGCAACAAACCCCGTTGCCAACTGTGTCCACATATCTATTCAGGGGACACCATCATAGGGCCTAATCACATCAGCCACACTATCAGAGGCTCGTTCACCTGCACATCTACCAATGTGATCTATGCCATCATGTGCCAGCAATGCCCCTCTGCCATGTACATTAGCCAAACCGGACAGTCTCTACGTAAAAGAATAAATGGACACAAATCTGACATCAGGAATTATAACATTCAAAAACCAGTCGGAGAACACTTCAATCTCCCTGGTCACTCAATAACAGACCTAAAAGTGGCAATTCTTCAACAAAAAAATTTCAAAACAGACTTCAACGTGAAACTGCTGAACTGGAATTAATTTGCAAACTGGACACCATCACATTAGGCCTGAATAAAGACTGGGAGTCTGAATAAAGACTGGTTGGGTCTTTACAAAACCTAAACCTAATTTCCCCCATCCTAATTTCCCCCTACTGTTACTCATACCTTCTTGTCAACTGTTTGAAATGGGCCATTCTCATTAACACTACAAAAGTTATTTTTCCTCCCTTGGTATGCTACTGTTAATTGAATTGTCTCATTAGATTGACCTCACACTTAGTAAGGCAACTCCCATCTTTTCATGCATTTATACCTGCTCCTGTATTTTCCACTCCATGCATCTGATGAAGTGGGTTCTAGCCCACGAAAGCTTATGCCCAAATAAATTTGTTAGTCTCTAAGGTGCCACAAGGACTCCTTGTTGTTTTTGCTGATACAGACTAACATGGCTACCACTCTGAAATCATTTAATTTTGGTGTCTCTTAGCATCCCCGTAAAACTGGGCAAATTAATGTTGTGAGCATTGATTTATGTTTGTAAAGCATGTTGAACTCCTCATAGAAAAAGTGCCATGGAAGGGCAAACGCTGATGATACAACCTGTGGGCTTTTCAAATTGTCTGCCTTGATCTATTCCCCCTTAGTAATGGCCCCAAACCCTGTGGTATCACAAATATAAGCTGTAGTATTTTGGACCTGACTGTAGAACGTTGTTTTCCCTAAAATAAGGGCTCCTAGTTTCACAGCTGCTTTGCTGCCTAAACTGAAATGCAGAAGCAGCACAATGGCCAGAAGAAAAGAGTGAGGTTAGTGGAATAGGTGAGAGACCAGAGTTAACCATTACGAATGCCTTTTTCTTGGAGCATTAATGACCCCATGATGGGTTATATATATTGTCTGTCTGTCTCTATGTCTAGAGCTCTAGACATATGGCTTTACAATCAATTTTCCTTCCAAACACAGGATGTATTTATTATTCCTGTCCCTCTGAGATCTTTGAGGGTAAATGGCAACAGTGCTTAGTGCCCATGACAGTTCTGGTTCCTCCTCCTTTCCTGCTAAGCTCTATAGCTCTCTGTCTCACTTGTCATAGTCCAAAGAAAAGACATTTTTGCATGCTGTAGTATAATCTGTGGAATTCACAGCCACAGGGTTTTGTTAAGGCAAATTGCTTACAAAAAGGATTTGATGTTTATATGAGCAAGAAAATAGCATCTTCAGTGACACTAACTCTATGATAAAAATGACAAGGCCTTTCAGTCCTCATGCTTCAGGGCAGAAACTGATCTGGCAGGTGGGGTCAGGAAGAATTTTCCCTCCATGGTTCAGTATTGTACAGTGAGTGCATTGTGGAGGATATATGCCTTCCTGAGAAGCACCTAGGACTGGCCACTGTTGGACACAGATTTCTGGGCTAGGTAGACCTTTGGTCTGTCCCCTTATGGCAAGGCCTGTGTGTCTAGTTTTCTCCCTGCAGCTTAGCCAGCTCTCCTGAACAGTGAGACCTGAGAGCTGATCCAGTGGATTCCACACTGTGTTTCAGGTGCCTTTGCCCAGAGAAGTCTCCATCCCCATGAGCCTTCGTTCTGATGCAGCCAATGGTCATGCAGGGATGCTCCTACACCCTCCCACGATGTCATGATTGGCATATAGCAGACCAGTCACATCACAGCAGCACCACCCACTCTCAATCTCAGGTAAGCCCTGAGGTAAGTGAGGACATGAGATACCGGGAGGAAGCACGAGCAGGAGAACGCGAGAGGAGAGGGCTCGTGCCTCATACTGAGAAAGAGGGACGATCAGCGAGTTATCTTAAGTGCCTATACACAAATGCAAGAAGCCTGGGAAACAAGCAGGGAGAGGGATTGGGGAGGAATAGCTCAGTGGTTTGAGCTTTGGCCTGCTAAACCCAGGATTGTGAGTTCAATCCTTGAGGGGGCCATTTGGGATCTGGGGCAAAAATTGGGGATTTGTCCTGCTTTGAGCAGGGGGTTGAACTAGATGACCTTCTGAGGTCCCTTCCAACCCTGATATTCTATGATTCTATGAACTGGAAGTCCTGGCACCGTCAAGTAATTATAATGTGATTGGAATAACAGAGACTTGGTGGGATAACTCACATGACTGGAGTACTGTCATGGATGGATATAAACTGTTCAGGAAGGACAGGCAGGGCAGAAAAGGTGCAGGAGTTGCATTGTATGTAAGAGAGCAGTATGACTGCTCAGAGCTCCGGTATGAAACTGCAGAAAAACCTGAGAGTCTCTGGATTAAGTTTAGAAGAGTGAGCAACAAGGCTGATGTCGTGGTGGGAGTCTACTATAGACCACCAGACCAGGGGGATGAGATGGACGAGGCTTTCTTCCGGCAACTAATGGAAGTTACTAGATCGCAGGCCCTGGTTCTCTTGGGAGACTTCAATCACCCTGATATCTGCTGGGAGAGCAATACAGAGGTGCACAGACAATCCAGGAAGTTTTTGGAAAGTGTAGGGGACAATTTCCTGGTTCCTCCTGGAGGAACCAAGTAGGGGCAGAGCTCTTCTTGACCTGCTGCTCACAAACTGGGAAGAATTAGTAGGGGAAGGAAAAGTGGATGGGAACCTGGGAAGCAGTGACCATGAGATGGTTGAGTTCAGGATCCTGACATAAGGAAGAAAGGAGAGCAGCAGAATACAGATCCTGGATTTCAGAAAAGCAGACTTTGACTCCCTCAGGGAACTGATGGGCAGGATCTCCTGGGAGAATAATATGAGCGGCAAAGGAGTCCAGGAGAGCTGGCTGTATTTTAAAGAATCATTATTGAGGTTACAGGGACAAACCATCCCGATGTGTAGAAAGAAATAAACATGGCAGGTAACCAGCTTGGCTTAACAGTGAAATCCTTGCTGATCTTAAACACAAAAAAGAAGCATACAAGAAGTGGAAGATTGGACAAATGACCAGGGAAGAGTATAAAAATATTGCTCAGGCAATATTGCCTCAGTGAAATCAGGAAGGCCAAATCACACTTGGAGTTGCAGCTAGCAAGAGATGTTAAGAGTAACAAGAAGGGTTTCTTCAGGTATGTTAGCAACAAGAAGAAAGTCAAGGAAAGTGTGGGTCCCTTACTGAATGAGGGAGGCAACCTTGTGACAGAGAATGTGGAAAAAGCTAATGTACTCAATGCTTTTTTTGCCTGTGTCTTCACGAACAAGGTCAGCTCCCAGACTGCTGCACTGGGCAGCACAGCATGGGGAGGAGGTGACCAGCCCTCTGTGGAGAAAGAAGTGGTTCGGGACTATTTAGAAAAGCTGGACGAGCACAAGTCCCTGGGGCCAGATGCGTTGCATCCGAGAGTGCTAAAGGAGTTGGCAGATGTGATTGCAGAGCCACTGGCCATTATCTTTGAAAACTCATGGCGACCGGGGGAAGTCCTGGATGACTGAAAAAAGGCTAATGTAGTGCCCTTCTTTAAAAAAGGGAAGAAGGAGGATCCTGGGAACTACAGACCAGTCAGTCTCACCTCAGTCCCTGGAAAAATCATGGAGCAGGTCCTCAAGGAATCAATTCTGAAGCACTTAGAGGAGAGGAAAGTGATTGGATTCACCGAGGGCAGGTCATGCCTGACTAATCTAATTGCCTTCTATGACGAGATAACTGGCTCTGTGGATGAGGGAAAAGCAGTAGACGTGTTATTCCTTGACTTTAGCAAAGCTTTTGACACGGTCTCCCACAGTATTCTTGCCAGCAAGTTAAAGAAATATGGGCTGGATGAATGGACTATAAGGTGGATAGAAAGCTGGCTAGATTGTTGGGCTCAACGGGTAGTGATCAATGGCTCCATGTCTAGTTGGCAGCTGGTATCAAGTGGAGTGCCCCAAGGGTCGGACCTCGGGCCAGTTTTGTTCAATATCTTCATTAATGATCTGGAGGATGGCGTGGATTGCACCCTCAGCAAGTTTGCAGATGACACTAAACTGGGAGGAGAGGTAGATATGCTGGAGGGTAGGGATAGGATACAGAGGGCCCTAGACAAATTAGAGGACTGGGCCAAAAGAAATCTGATGAGGTTCAACAAGGATAAGTGCAGAGTCCTGCACTTAGGATGGAAGAATCCCATGTACCGCTACAGACTAGGGACCAAATGGCTAGGCAGCAGTTCTGTAGAAAAGGACCTAGGGGTTACAGTGGACAAGATGCTGGATATGAGTCAACAGTGTGCCCTTGTTGCCAAGAAGGCCAGTGGCATTTTGGGATGTATAAGTAGGGGCATTGCCAGCAGATTGAGGGACTTGATCGTTCCCCTCTATTCGACATTGGTGAGGCCTCATCTGGAGTACCTATGATTAGGGGTCTGGAACACATGACTTATGAGGAGAGGCTGAGGGAACTGGGATTGTTTAGTCTGCGGAAGAGAAGAATGAAGGGGGATTTGGTAGCTGCTTTCAACTACCTGAAAGGGGGTTCCAAACAGGATGGATCTAGGCTGTTCTCAGTGGTAGCAGATGACAGAACAAGGAGTAATGGTCTCAAGTTGCAGTGGGGGAGGTTTATGTTGGATATTAGGAATAACTTTTTCACTAGGAGGGTGAAGCACTGGAATGCGTTACCTAGGGAGGTGGTGGAATCTCCTTCCTTGGAGGTTTTTAAGGTCAGGCTTGACAAAGCCCTGGCTGGGATGATTTAGTTGGGGATTGGTCCTGCTTTGAGCAGGGGGTTGGACTAGATGACCTCCTAAGGTCCCTTCCAAACCTGATATTCTATGATTCTAAGAGTGCCAGGGCTCATTAACGATCACACCTTTTCTCTTTCAATTCAGAGTTTTGGTGACAGTTGCCAAACTTCTGTTATTTATAGCAAAGTGGCACCTCCTACATTCCTGTTAGTGGTGGGGATGTTATTTCCTCCGTCTCCCCCAGCTTCTACTTAGCATGTTCTACTCATATAGCACTTTCCAGATGCACAGTGCTTCACAAACAAGAGATGGGCTTGAGTGACAATGTGCAGTGTTGGGATCAGTTCTGGGTTTCAAACCTCCACCACCAAAAATTGTGTGTGGAGATGTGTGGGTGGGTGGGGCTGAGGGGGTCTCTGTTGTCATCTCTCGTGATTTGATGGTTAGTCTCGCAATATTTGTTTTTCTTGAAGTCCCAGCTCCTGGACGCATGTGACTTGAGGGGCAGGAGGAATTCAGCTATCATTTTTTAAAAAAGGAAGTTTCTGCAGAGAAGAGGTGGAAAATGTGACCCTGGTGCTAAAGGCTCAGAAGGCAAAGAAAAAAATCCAACTGTTTTTAAGTCTCATGATTTTTAAGCTGATCTCATGATTCTTTGGGGCCTGCCTTATGATTTTTGAACACTTGCGGCTGGCAATATTGGTGGGATTGCAGAATCTACTTCCCTTCGGCCCTTTTGGAAATCCCAGGTCTTTGGTTAGGAGCAGGCCTGTGCTATTCTTGGCTACATGGGCTGGGGCCAGTAGCTATCCTAAGGGGGTTTCTGACCTGCATGGCCTGTGTTTCTGACCCTCACATACTGCGTCAGTGCTCACTGGATGTGTGTTTGCCTTGCACTTCTTGTGCTGAACGTAGCCAAGGCTGGCAGTTTGTCCTGCCTGCAAAAGGGGAATGAGCCAGTTAACCCAAGACCCCAGCCGATGGCGGAGAAGGCACAGAAGAGCCTGCATTGCTTGTCTGATCTGGAGGTTCAGCAGAGATTCTTCAGGGCTCTTTCCCTTCCACCCTTCACTGCCCCTTTCCATTCCCTCTCCCTCTGGCTGAAGAGTGCTGGACCAGCGCCCTGTGGAAACAGCAGTGCTGATCTGAGGGAAGCAAGCCCCCTTTGGCCTCAGCACTCCTCTTCTACAGCAGAGGTTCTTAAACATTTTCTTTCTGAGGCTGCCCCCCAACATGGTATAAAAACTCCACAGCCCACTTGTGCCACAATAACTGGTTTTCTGCCTATAAAAGCCAGGGCTGGCATTAGGGGGTAGCAAGCAGGGCAATTGCCTGGGGCCCCATGCCAGAGGGGCTCCCACGAAGCTACATTGCTCAGGCTTCAGCCTCAGCTGACAAGGCTCAGGGACCTGGGCTTCAGCCCCACGCAGTGGGCCTTCGGCTTTCTGCCCTGGGCCCCAGCGAGTCTAATGCTGGCCCTGCTTGCAGGCCCCCCGAAACCTGCTCGAGGCCCCCTACAGGGCCCTGGACCCCTGGTTGAGAACTACTGTTCTATAACACACCCAGGTGTTTTTTGCTGGCTCCAAGGAGTTCAGGATGGCTGAGTCTGGGGCTGGATCCCAGCACCATGTGTTGCCGTTGCACTGACTGCCCCAGCATGGAGATCTGCAGCTCAGGGGAGAGAAGCTGGGGGAAGTGTGAGAAACTGGCATCTTGTCTGTCTGAGCCAGTTCCCAGGCTGGAAGCGGGGCTCATAGATGAGCCCGTGACTTTTCCCTGCTGGTTCTGAGTCAGTGTTTATGTGGAGGGGGTGGCTGTTATGTAGCTATTACCAGGAGCGTGTAAGGGGGTTAATAAACGACCCAGCAGATTCAACAAGGAGCAGAGGGTTGGAGGGAGAGCAGAGTGAGCTGAGCAGCAACCTCCACTGCCTCCCATGAACATGCTGAGGAGCTAGCTATCCGTGGGTCGGGCTGATTCTCTGTGGGGGTACAGGAGTGGAAGAGGGAATAAGCAGGGAAACAGACAGAGGCAAGGGCAACCTCAGGGACACTTGCAGCAATCAGCAGCTGCACTGGAGAGAGGGTGTACGAGGGGCACTCGTTGCTCTGGGCTTATAATCACTCACCCAAAGCCTTTCCTGACTTCTGTGCTGCACAGGGCTAGAGTATTTAACTCCACATGCAGGCAGAGTGCCAGGCCACTGGCTTGCTCTGCTTGCAGGGCAGCGATCTTAATAGCAGCTCTGCCTTCCACCCTCCAAATACCGTGCACTGTCTGCCCCCTTCCTGGGACGGGCCTTACTCAGGGTTGCTGGCGTCGCTATTGTCTTGGCTTCAGAGTCCAGGGATCCCACTGGGTTGGTGAAAACTGAAGAGCGTGTTGGTGTGAGAGCCCCCTGATTGCAAAGGGCAGCCCAGCACAGAGGGAGGGAGGAGGGGACAAATGGGTAGAGATGGCAGGCATGCAGAGAGAGACAGAGAGAATGAGAGAGACCAATGGGAAGAGGGAGAGATACAGGGAGCTTTTTCATAGTGTTCCTGTAGGTGGAACTGAGCATGGAAACAATGCCGAGCTGCAGAAACTCCAGAGAACTCTGTGGGAGACAGATGGGAACGGGGACGAAATCCTTTTGGCAAAAACAAGATGTTTTCCCTGGGTACAGATGCGTGTGAGCCAAGCCCAGGAATGTTGATGTTGACATGTGAGGGAGTCTGGCCCAGGGAGTCCCAGCTGTGAAGGAGGGGAGTGCTGAATCTGCAGAGGGGCTTCCCCTTCCCACCCCTTCTGTCCCTAATGCAGGCCCTGGCCATCACTGTGATGCACACCTCTGCTGGGGCTCACCCAGGTGAGCTCATGGCTTGTCCAGGAGGTGTGGGCCAGGGCAGATGCTTCTCCACTGAGGCTCTTGACAGGGTTTCTGGTAGCAATAGGGAACCCCTGTGGCTCTTTCAGTGTAACCTCCCGTCCTCCTTCTCGTATAATGGGGTTTGAGGAGTTTCTGTTTCCACCTCCCATGCTCCCCCCACACCCTGTCCTCTCCCACCATGACGGGACTCAGACAGAGCCCCCAGGTACGCCCCGGGTCTGTCTAGGGGACTAAAAGCTTGCATTGACTGTTCCTTCAGGAATTTGTCTATTGACGAACAAACGCTGAGACCCCAGCACTCCATTTGCAGTAACCAGAGGACCTGGGGGCTGCTGCACCATTGCCTTTGCTATTACCCAGGGGCCCCGGCCCCGGCCCTGTACAGTGCCACCTTTGCTATTATCCAGGGGCCCCGGCCCTTTACAGTGCCACCTTTGCTATTACCCGGGGTGGCCCTGCCCAGCACTGTGTTCTCTTATATGTGCAGTGATTTCTTTGAATGTGGCTAGCTGTGGTACCTTCTCCCCCATCAGTGCCTGTCACACACACGTGTGCACAGGGTGACTCCTGGTGACACCCTGCCCTCCCTCACACACAGACAGCTGCCGTGGTACCCGTGGGGGTTAAGGCAGGTTGGAGGGAGCTGGAATTCCACCCGGACAAAGCTGTGATTCACTGGCAGAGCAGCTGCTGCCGCCGCCTCCCTCCAGATTCCTGGGGGGTCAGTAAACAGGGCAGCAGCTCCTCTCAGCCCCCCCATCCTGCTCCTTGCCCGCCCTCTGGTCCCTTCCACCCTTCTTCTCTTCCCTGTGGTGCTGCTTGCCTTTCTCCTGCTGCTGTCTGCCTGGTGCTGGGTGATGGCACTGGGAAGAGAGGGGGACAATGTTCTCTCCCGTGCAGCTGGTGGGCAGCCACGCCATGGATCCCTGGCTCTGTACAGGTAGGGGACGTGCTCCACAGTGTGTGTGTGTGTGTGTGTGTGTGTGTGTGTGTGTGTGTGTGTGTGTGTGTGTGTGTGTGTGTGCCTGCACACACATCTAAAAATACAGCTGTTCACATGCATCTGACTTCTGGAGGGAGAAGGATCCAACCGGCCTGCCACCTCGGCAGCTGCAGCCAGTGGAACTGGTACTCGATGTGGAAGCGCTGCTTTCCCCCACTCACCTGCAGGGGTTTTATTCTGGGGGAGCAGGCATTGCACACCTGGCCAGTGCATGGCTGCTTTCCCTCTGGCTCATCTATAGGACATAATCGGTGAGTGGCAGGCATTGTGGACTTTTACCCTTTTCCTAAACTAGGCTGGAGAGGATCACTCTTCCCGTGGAGTTATATCCACGCAGTTCCGTTTACCCCTAGATGGAGAAAGGCCATTGGCCCTGATCCCTTTGCAATCCCCCTGGGGACAGAGGAGGTGGCTAGGGCCATGCAGGGCTAACCTGCTTTGGCAGCGTGAGTATTTGCACAAGAAATGTATTGACTTTCAGTATACGGGCAGCAGCGTTAGTGTGAATGATTTATGGTATTCATGTCTAGGATTCCTCTGTACTCTGTGTTTGATGATTTTCGGGATGCTCTCTGGAATGACATGGCAGATCAGGGGCAGAAAATTAAATGTGCTTTCGGTGAAACATAAAACATGCTTCTTCCCCCACTGTGATCATTAAGTACCTCCCAGTTTTTTTCTGGGGAGTAGAGAAGTGATAGCCCTAGTGACCTGGCAAAACCCCCTTTGGATAGATTATAAAGCCAGACGGGACAATTGTGATCATGACCTACTGTGTCACTGCCCTGAATTAATTTCTTGTCTATTCTGCCTGGTCCTGTCTTTCCTTCTGTGCCATTAGCATATGGTCCCCTCCTCGCTCAAAACTGTTACAGGGTAGCTGTGCTCTTTCAAACAACTGCCAATCCCCTCTCCAGTTGAGTGAAGTGATTCCTGTACCGATCATTTGGAAAACACTTTGGGTTGAAAGGTACTAATGCATATTAATTGTTATCACTTCTGAGCCCTGCCAACAAATTAGAACTGGAGGGAAAGGTTGTGATTTCCCAAGCAAAACACAGCAACTTCCCACCTGTGAAATTGGTAAATGTTTGTGTGTTTTGACAACAGGCAGCAAGCTGCCATTGTGGTCACACACCAGCCCTCCATCCATGCACCCCAAATACACAGTGGTGAGAGTGTTTGTGTTGCACGTAGATCATGCCTCCCTCTGATTGTTTGTTGGTGTGTCTGGCAAGTAGGATAGTCTTTGCTGTTGTCATGGGACAGAGCACAGTCTAGCGATCAGAACTATGGAGTGGGAGTCAGGAGACTAGGTTCATCTCATAACTCTGCAACTGACTCACTGTGCAGATAATTTCCCTGTGCCGTGCCCCACTTTCCCCCCAGTCTGTGTCGATAATGCTTCCCTTCCTCCCAAGGGATTGAGGCTACATTCCTCATTGTAAAGTGCTTTGAGATCCTTGGATTTAAAGCACGCTGAATGCAAAGAGATATAGTGTGATCTCCTTTCTTCAGATGACTGGAATTCTGAGTCTCTCCCTAATTTTCACACGCATGCACTCTCTTCCTTCTGGAGTGGGTGCAGAGGAGCTGCAGAGTCTCTGGAAGTTGGGCCCCTGGACTGCCAGAGAATGTTCTCACCTGCAATTTTCTACAGGTGAAGCAGGTGGGAGCTTATAGTCTGTTTTTTGTGGTAGCTCAGGCTGCACAACCAGGGCCATTAATATTGTAACAAATCCGTGATCACCTACACCTTCCTGGTTGTCACTGTGCTGCACACTGGGGCCGCTCAGAACTTAATGGCAGCAGCAGGAACAGAATTTGAAGCCTGTGCCTCTTTGGTGCTCCAAAATCACAAGTTCTAGCCACTTAAGCTGAAGGGGAATATCCATGTAGAGTGGTGTGGAGTCTATGCCACACAGCTGAGCAACTCTGACTCAATCCAGCAAAAAAAAACAAACCAAAAACAACACACACACACACACAGAGCACAAGAGTAAAAACCCTGCATCCCCTTGCAGTGTTGTAAATGCTGATCACTGTATAATATGTCACATTGATAGAACATCCTTCAAGTGTTTTAAATCCTTAACAAAATCTCAAGATCTTTTGTGATGCAGGCCGGCATTTCAATCCCTTTGTACAGATGGAGAAGCTGGTTCATTAATGTTAAGGGTTGTGCCCAAGAACACACAGTGAGTCAGTGGCAGAGGTGAGAGCAGCAGTCAGTCATGTGCTCTAGCCACTAGACATCCTGTGTCTGGACTCAGTGTGTCAGGTGTTTGTGCTTCCACCTAGGTTAAAGCAGCGGAAGATGGTGAAGGAGCGCCCTGTGTAACCCAGCAAGCTTCCAGCAGTGCCCTCAGGCCCCAGGCACCTCTGGAGATGAATCTTTGTTGGAATGAAATCAAAAAGAAATCCCACAGCCTTCGGTAGGACTCCCCATGTGAAGTGAGCTTGCTGGTCTTTGCCCCGGGATTGCCTGCTGGAGATGTTAGGCACAAGCCTTGAGATCTTGTTCAGTTCATTTGCCACCCAAGTTCACTGTAACCTTGGAGCAGTTTTCCCTCTCGGCCTCTAAAGCAGAGACAAATCCCTGAGTCACTAACTCTTTTCTCCTCTGCTTGAAATGTGTTTTCATTTGCCCTTGCTTGTGCTCTCACTCCTTCTTTCCTCTTGTTTCCTCCTGTCCCTTTATCTCTTCTTCCCCATCCATTCCTGCTTTCTCTCTGCCCCTCTCTCCAGTCCTCAAGCAGGGGCGTGTGTGTGTGTGTGTGTGTGTGTGTGTGTGTGTGTGTTCTTATTGCCCAAGATAAGGACTCAGGAACCCATTCCCTTCACATCACCTTCCTCTGTGGCCTGCCCCTTCCCTCCAGACCCCTCTAGGAGCATGTGCCTTTCTGCAGCCTTCTGTAGTTGCAGATCCACCGCCAGCATCACTGAGAGTTCAGTTGGGGCATATTAATTGTGCTTTGCCTTAACACACACATCCTGGTCCAGGTAAATGGTCCAGGTGGCTACAACGTATAGCCAAGTCTCTGCCAATATAGGCATAGCCGGAGTTCAGGCTGTTTATACACACAAGTCCAGGCAGGTTCTTCTGCTCTTCCCCACTACACACTTGGAAATCAGAAACAGCTTAAGGGAGTCCTCTCACCTGCCCCTGCTAACACCAGCAAATACTTCTAATGCTGAGCCTCATGGAAGGTATCCTCTACTGCATGCGAGGCCAGGGCAGCATCCATGTGCATGCTCACCTGGGACAGGCTGAGGGAGCTCCTCCCTCCTGACACCAATGCAGGATATAGCCATTCTTTAGTCACGGGACAGAGAAAGTTTTCCCTTAGCCTGGCTGCCTCTTCTCAGGGCAGAAGGCACACACTGTGTGAGATTGGGCTGTGCCCTCTGAGCCACAGGCTGCAGGGGCCCAGTGCACTGTCCACTCTTCCCTTTTTGAAAAGCGGTGAATTCCCATCGGGCCTCATCCTTTTTGTCTGCTCTCTATAACTGTTGTGTTCCCATCCATCTGGTGCAGGGCTCGTCTGGAGGCCTTTTCAGACCACAGTGGGAAGCTGCAGCTCCCCCTCCAGGAGATCATAGACTGGCTGGGTCAGAAGGATGAAGAGCTGTCCGCACAGCTGCCGCTCCGGGGAGATGTGCTCTTGGTACAGCAGGAAAAAGAGACGCACGCGGTATGTTTCCAGATACACACTCCCTAGAGCCCTATCTTCGCTCACCAGCTAGGATGAGCTCCCGCCCCAGGTTCCTTGGCATGGAACCTGGATACCTGACCTGGTCTCTCTGCCCACAACTGTACTTGCAGGTTCCCCTGTGACTTATGTTTGGGGCCAGAATGCTGGCTGTCACTTGCACCTTTCCCCTTCCCTTATGAGGTGGAGCCAACGTTCTGAAAAGCTCCAGCCTGTATTTTCCCCAGTGAATAACAGATAGGATCAGTTCAGTTTAGAAAGTGAAGAGGCATTTTGTGTAAATGACAGAAAGTAAATCTGCATTACAGATTTAAAGTTAAATCTATGAAGAGATCACAGAACTGGATGCTGAGCCTCAGGCACTGACTATTTCCTGTTTCCCAACTGGCTGCAATATCCGAGCTCTCAGACAGACAGATGCCTTTCTTTGGCCACATTCATGCGGATCCTGACACTTGCCTGCTGGGATCTGAGAGACCAGTTTGGGTCATCTGTCTGACTTAGATCTACAGCTGACACAATGACGGGGATGTGAGAATCCTTGTGGTGTTACAGCACATAGCCGTTCTGATTAACCAATGTCATCCCATCTGAATTCAGGAGAATCATAGAACTAAAAGGGACCTCGAGAAGTCATCTAGTCCCGTCCCCTGCACTTGTGACAGGACTAAGTATTTAAAATATTTACAAAGGACCGTTTCCTTCTCCCTGGACCTACAGTGCAAACTGGCCATGATCAGAATGCCTCCCTTTTAATAATTCGTGGCTCAGAACGCGCCAGTAGTTGCCTATTTCAGAGACACTGTTGATCTACAGATCTCACCAAATCTCTCTCCTCCTTCCATGTGGTGGGATCTTCCTTGAATCCCAGGGCTGTTTATCCATTAACTTTCCTTTGTATGTTAAAGATGTTCACGTACCATCTTCTGAGGCGGAGCTTCTTTAACATGTCAGGTACGTGCTGGTAGTTCGCTTGTGCACTGGAGCGAGTAATTCACTGCACAGTTCTTGGTTGAGGAAGGAGCCTTTCAGTTCTCTAACTCAGCCTTTGTTTTGTCATGCTGTGCCTCCCCACTGCAGGCTTTCATGGAAGAGGTGAAGTCTCGGGGCCCATATATTTATTCCGTCCTGGAGTCGGCGCAGGCCTTCCTTTCCCAGCACCCATTCGAGGAATTAGAGGAACCCAATTCTGAAAGTAAAGGTTTGTGGAGCCTCCCACTCTCATCCCCCTCCTTGTCCTCATGTCAGCATGGCCTAGCTCTCGGATCCTGCATGCTGTCGTTCTGAGAGAGGAGACGGGCAGGGGGCAATGTGGCATTGTGTACCGCAGTGCAGCATGAATGAACTGAACGGGCAGTCCTATAGCACAGTGTTACCTGGCATTGGCACTCCATGTGTCACCATAGGTATGCCTGCACTGCCATCGTAGGGGTGATTGCAGCACCTGTCGACATACTTGCTTTGATCTCGCTAGCTTGGGTAGCCATAGCAGCAAAGCTGCAGCAGCGCGAACTTTGGCATAGGCTCTATGGGCCCGCCTGGGACCTTAGATCATTACTGGGGTGGCTAGCCTGCGCTGAAGCACATCACTGCTGTGGATACTGAAGTTAGCTCAAGTAAAGCTAGCCTTGGGTATGTCTGCATGTGCTGCCATCACATCTCCGAGGACAGCGTGGACATACCTTATGTCATGCTACTTTGTGGTGGGGCGAGGCACACAGCAAGCACGGGGTGTGATGGGCACAGTGTGTGGCTCGTCCTAGAGAGATGCAACATGGTACACGAGGGCATTGAACAGTGATTTAATTAGCATGCCTGCAAAATGAACTCTTGTCCCAGCCCTTCAACTGAGCCACACCCCTTATGTGAAGCCAGGGCCTCTTCCCTCCAGAGGTGGTGGAGAGCTCTCCCTTTTCTTGGTGACTCTCTTCCTCCAGCCCCACCCGCAACGGCTGGGAAGGAAGAAGCGCTCTGCCAGTCGCTGCTCCTCTCTTGGCCGGGGGGCAGGGTACAAATCCACTCCCAGCATTTGTGTGGGGTCCTGGCAGCTCCTGTGCTTTCCCCACTGATAGGGAGGAGGAGTGAAGTGATCTGGCCTGGCCAATAATAGGGCCCCTTTGCTGAGCGCTGGGCTCCCTACACTGATTGGCACTCAGCTCTGCCCCTGACCTGCTTTTTGACCTTGGGTAAATCATTTAATCTCTCTCTGCGCCAGTTTCCCCATCTGTGTAACAGGGATAACGCTCCCCTCGCATTAAGGGGCCCAGGCAAAGCTGCCTGTAACTTGAGGGGCTGTCTCTGCCTGGGGAAGGCATTCAGGAGTTGTGCTTTAAAGGCAATAGGGCCATCTTGACTCCTTCAGCGGAGTACTCACCTTGGTACCACAGGTGAAGCTACTGGTGGACGCAGTCCTTCAGAGGTCCTTTGTCAGACCGGCAGCTCCTGGCTGGGATGTAGCAGCGTTGGCTGTGGGGTCACTGTGTCCAATGGAATGTGCATGCTGTACCCTGATACTCTTTTAGGCAAGCTGCTTGGAAAATAGCTTAGCCTCATGGGCCAAAGCCATCACTTGTGAGTGCCGGCCATGATCAGACGGATGTTGGTAGGCAGGAAGCTTGTGACTGGCAGCGGGAGAGGCTGAGCTGTAATGCTGAAAGAGGAATGAATCTGAAGAGGGAAGGCAACCTGGGTGAAAGTGATCTGAATGATAGATTTCATGATTCTAAGGAAAGCCAGGAGTGAGAGCACCAGAATAAGGATGATGGATTTAAAAAAAGCAAAGAACTCAGAGACGTGGTAGGTAAAGTCCCCTGGGAAGAAAATCTAAGGGATAAAGAAGTTCAGGAGAGCTGCCTGGCAGTTTCTCAAGGAGATAATATTAAAAGCACAATTGCAAACAATCCTGATAGGAAGAAAGTTAGGAAGAATAGTAAGAGACTAATATGGCTCCATCAGAAGCTCTTTAATGACCTGAACATCAAAAAAGAATCCTACAAAAAGTGGAAACAAGGACAAATTGTAAGGATGAATACAAAAGAATAGCACAAGTGTATAGGGACAAAATCAGCAAGGCTAAGGCACAAAGTGAGTTACAAATAGGAAGGAACATAAAAGACAGCAAGAACAGGTTCTTTAAATACACTAGTAGCAAGAGAAAGATGAAGGAAAGTGGAGGTCCTCTACTTAGCCGGGAAGGAGAACTAGTAACTGATATCAAGGAGGATGAGGTGTTTAATGCCTATTTTGCTTCAATCCTCACTAAAAAGGTTAATGGTGACTAGATAGTCAACATAACTAATATTAACAAAAAGGAGAAAAGAACACAACCCAAAATGGAGAAAGAACAGATTATAGAATATTTAGATAAACTAGATGCATTCAAGTCACCAGAGCCTGATGAAATCCATCCTAGGGTGCTGAAGCAATCTCAGAACTGTTAACAATTATTGTGGAGAATTCATGGAGGACAGGAGAGGTCCCAGAGGACTGGAGAAGGGCAAACATAGTACCTATCTTTAAAAAGAGGAACAAAGAGGACCTGGCAAATTACTGACCAGTCAGTGTAACTTTGATACAGGGAAAAGGTACTGGAACAAATTATTAAACAATCATATTGTAAGTACCTAGAGTAGGATAAGATTATAAGGAATAGCTAGAGTAATTTGTCAGGAACAAATCATGCCAAACCAATTTAATTTCCTTCTTTGACAGGGTTATTTTTACCTAGGGGATGCGGGGAAGCAGTAGATGTGATATATCTTGATTTTAGTAAGAGTTTTGAAACGGTCCCACATGACATTCTCATAAGCAAACTAGGAAAATGTGGGCTACATGAAAATACTATAAGGTGTGTGCACAAGTGGTTGAAACACCGTATGCACAGAGTAGTTATCAATGGTTCACTGTCAATCTGGGAGGGGTGTATCTAGTGGGGTAGTGCAGGGGTCAGTCCTGGTCTAGTACTAGACAATACTTTCATGACTTGGATAATGGAGTGGAGAATATGCTTATAAAATTTGTGGATGACACCAAGCTGGGAGGGGTCACAAGCACTTTGGAGGACAGGATTAGAATTCAAAACTATCTTGACAAATTGAAAAATTGGTCTGAAATCAACAAGATGAAATTCAAAAAAGACCAGGGTAAGGTACTGCATTTAGGAAGGAAAAATCAAATGCCCAGCTACAAAATGGGAGATAACTGGCTAGATGGTAGTACTGCTGAATATGAATCAGCAAGGTGATGTAGTTGCTAGAAAGGCTAACAGTGTGTATTAATAGGAGTGTCGTACTGGGAGGTAATTGTCCTGCTCTATGCGGGACTGGTGAGGCCTCAGCTGGATACTGTGTCCAGTTCTGGGAAATTGGAGGAAAGGTTAATAAAACTGGGCATGTTTAGTTTTTGGATAAGAAGACTGAGGGGGGACCTGATGACAGTTTCCAAATATGTTAAGGGCTATTCTAAAGAGGATGGTGATCAATTGTTCTGCATGTCCATTGAAGGTACAACAAAAAGTAATGGGCTTAATCCGAAGCAAGGGAGGTTTGGGTTAGATATTAGGAAAAGCTTTTGAACTTCAAGGGTGGTTAAGCTCTGGAATAGGCTTCCAAGGGAAGTTGTGGAATCCCCATCACTGGGGGCTTTTGGGAAGGAGGTTGGACAAACATCTGTCAGGGCTGGTCTAGGTTTACTTGGCTCTGCCTCAGCGCTGGGGGCTGGACTTGATGATCTGTCGAGGTCCCTTCCAGCCCTGCATTTCTATGATTCTATGACATGTACTGAAATTGTCCTCTTTTTCCTTTCTCCCTTCTCTCTGTCCTTTGTTCTTTCTCTTCCCAATTCTCCCTGGCTTCTCCTCTCTTTCTCCTCTTTCTTCCTCTTGTCACCCCACCCTTGCATTGGCTGTCCCTGCTGTGGCTGGGATCTCCTGGTTGTTCACTGTGGCCCTGCTGCTTTTCTCATAGATGTCTCTCCAAGGCAGAGGATCCAGAACATCAGCCGTTTTGTCTGGAAGCAGGCGAATGTGGCCAGTGAGCTGTGGGAGAAGCTCACTGCCCGCTGTGTTGACCAGCACCGTCACATTGAACGGACACTGGAACAGCTGCTGGAGGTCAAGGGAGCCATGGAGGAGCTTAGCACAACACTGGACCAGGCCGAGAGTGTGCGAGAAACCTGGGAGCCCATTGGGGACCTCTTTATCGATGCCTTACCAGAGCACATCCAGGCAACCAAGGTACATCTCACCCTTTCTCTGTCCCTAAGGGAGACCAGTTGTGTCTCTCTTACTGGAGGAGATCTTGCAGTCTGATAAAGTCACTATTCAAATAGGACTGTGCCAAAATCCTGTCTGGACACCGATAAAATCAGAGGGACCAGTTCATCGCTAGTGGTGACTCCACTGACTGATAGGGCAGATTTGGCTTGTGATGTCTGGAGGGATAGATAATCCTGAGGTCTTCTCCAGGGGAGCATATTCCCCTCACTGTACCTGCTCAAACCAGGCACTCTGGATAGGACTCTTCTTCTTGTTGGCTACTAGTTGGGATCTGATTAGTATCCCAAGCAAGGGGACTCAATTCCATCGTAGCGCTAGTGTGTGCATCTTCAGTCTGGCTTGCTGGGTTCCTTCTGCTGCTCCAGCTCTCTCAGAAAAGGAGGGTTAAGCAGTGATTCCCACCCACCCACACTCTCTCCCAGGCAGTGCCAGCTGCTGGTGTACCCAGGCCCGCATCAGGGCATTGCTAGTGATGTTACAATGAAAGAGTAAGGTGAGTGGCTTTTCTCTCTGTCCCACCTTGTGTCTCTTCTCTTTGGGATGGGGGGCTCTAGCTGTTTAAAGAGGAGCTCTCCCCCATGAAGGACGGGGTGAAGCTAGTTAATGACCTCGCACACCAGCTTGCTATCTCAGATGTGCATCTGTCCATGGAGAACTCCCGGGCTCTGGAGCAGATCAACACCCGATGGAAACAACTGCAGGTAGGAAGGGGCAATGTGGGGGCAAAGTAGGGAAGTTGGGTGCCCTGTGAACAGTAGTTGGACATTATGGGGAAGGGGCTGTCAGAGTGCAACAAGGGTAACAGAGATCTGGGGTCATAGGTCTGAATGGGCCTTTTCTAAGAGAGACGGAGATAGCAGGCCATTGGGACAGGGAGGTGGTGAGTCTGCAGTGGGATTCTGGAGAACAGAAGCAACATGAGGGACAAGGCACAACGGAGGCTCATGGGGCAGGTTCTCAGCTGGCGTAAATGGGTGCAGCTCAGGTGACTTCAGTGGAGCCATAGTGTGGATCTGGCCTGTGGAGACTGAGAATTAGCTAGGCGAGGGAGTGGGCAGGAGGGTTTGGTTGTTGGGGGATAGGAATCCAGGAAGGTGGTGGATGTGGGGGAGGGGTGGTGCATTGCAGTGCCATGTTAGTACATGTGCAATGCCTCCTGGCCTGTCTAAAAGCTGAAGTCCTGGGGAAGTTCACTTTTAAGTTCCAGTTTCCCCTTCTCCCAGGCCTCGGTTAATGAACGCCTGAAGCAGCTTCAGGATGCCCATCGGGACTTTGGACCAGGTTCCCAGCACTTCCTCTCCAGTACGTGAGCAGATCCCCCCCAGTGTCCTCACCATCAGACACCCCCCGGGCCGGAGAAGCTCAGCACTGAGTCTATTGCTTTGTACAGATTCACACCTGCCTGCCTTTCTTACTGCCTTGGCCACACAAGATTTCCCCCAGAGACATATTCCCCTTGGCCTAGCTCTGCCAGGGCAACCCCAGTAACCAGCTTGAAAGAGGCACTATCGAGTGGCAGTTCCTAAGTGACACATGGCATTACTCAAGGTTGATAGCACCATGACACCGGCAGGGTACAGGATTTAGGTGCTTGTCTATATGGGGACACTCAGGAAAAATACGCCAAATGACTTCACACTTTACTGGATTTGTCATCAGTGAGAGTGCTTTAAACCCATGTGGATGCTCGTGTTTGGAAGTAAAGTGGTCTTTGTTCCCTGAATCTTAACTCTCTCTGGAGACAAGCCCTTATGCTGGAGGCAGCTCTCCAGGCTATTATGATCCGTATTTGCTAACCACGTGTGCCCGTCAGGTGGAGTGGTGCCCCATTCAATGACACAGACATGGTGACATGAGCCTGAAGCAGCTCCCAGTTGGCACTTGGGGCTGTGCCAAACTCAGTAATCCTGTGACTCCACAGGGCTCGATGGCAGATGGCAGCAAAAAGTCAGCTCCCATAGCCCACAGTGGTGGGTAAGGCGGTGAGAATGCGCCTGTTATTTTCCATTGTAAAGCGGGATGCTATTCTCACGTCAGTGAGCTGGCTCTGTCAGGAGGCTGTCTTGGCACCATGGCAAACCCTGCAGTGGAAAGCACTTAGGACAACATTTCCAAACCTGGGTATCTGATGTTACATAAAAATGGCTTGATTCTCTACGGGGTTGAGCACCCACAGCTCCCAATGACATCATTGGGGTTAGTGGGTGCTCGGCTCCTCTGCAGAGCAGGTCACTTGGCCTGGGTGCCTGCACATGGATTTAGGAGCCAGGTTTAGAAGCACTGACCTTGGTACTGTACTTATAAAGTGCCCGAGTGGAGGTGAGCTGTTTGGTGGTGGTGCTGGAGGTGAAAGGGTTTCCTTTCCCCGGACAATGACTGGTGCTGCAGGCAACCAATGCAGTTATGGTAGGGCTCCTGTCCATTCTGATCTTTCTGCTCCAGAAAAACAGGCCTCTCCTGAACTGACGGAGATCTCTAATGAGAGTGAGAGAAGCAGGTGTCTCTCACGCTGTGGCCCAGTCATTAGAGGGTAGCAACACACCCTCCAGCACCCAAATCCAGTGCAGTACACCCACCCACACTGATGCACATTGGGGTCTCAAGGATGGACCTTGTAAGGAAGGATTTCACTGACCAGGGACCACTGCCTGGGGCAATGGCAGTGTCCCAGTGTCAGGGTCCTGTCTGTAGCCAACTGTGGGGAGTGGGGTGAGGCTGGGGGCACAGAGATGGTTACTCCATTTCTGCATTCACAGTACAAGGAGTGCTGTGTCCCTAGCCCCACCTCATCTCTGCTCTCGAGAACAGCACTCGGTAGGCTGCAGTCTCTCATCAGAGAGGAGTTTGACTGACAGGCACGTCTGTATCTGTCTCTTTTTGCAGCCTCTGTCCAGGTTCCCTGGGAACGAGCAATTTCACCCAATAAAGTGCCGTACTACATCAAGTAAGTGTAGGGGGTCAGAGGCTGGAAGAGTGGCTGGTCTCTCTGTCTCACTTTCCGGGGCACTCCGTCTGTCTTCCATCCCCTGTGTGACTTTCCCATTCACCTCCAATAAGACCTACGTGGTCTTGATGGGGCAAAACACAAATTCTATCCATTCCAGGATCTCATGCGGTGAGCTCACCGCCTTCCAATCACACCAGACACAGCCCAAGTGGTCCTTTCTCCCCTGGACAGAGATCCTCCCTGGGCAGTCTCTGGTGTAAGTAGGAACCTAGGTGGGTCCCCACATTCAGCTGTGGTTGGGCAAGAGATGTGTTCCCTTGCAGGATTCCCAGCTCTGGGGACTCTCATTAGGTTTTGCAGAGGGGACATTTGCAGATATTAGAGGGGGGTGTTTGTGTGTGGGGGGGGCGTAGTTTAGCAAGTGCTGTTTTTAGGCACCCCCTAATGGCTGTTAGCAGGCGTTGGGGCACTGGAGAGTAGTGGGTGCATGTTGTAGGAGGAAGGACCCTAGCAGTCAGCCCACAAGAGGTGGGGTTGGAGGCAAAATTAACAGTGATGTTAGAACAAACTCATCACACCTGATTCCACCGGGGTGGACCCCCTGCCACCAAAATGCACCCCTGCCTGTGTGCACTGGGAATCCCCTTAGTATTATCACTGCCCCTTCCCCCCCCCCCCCCCCCGGAAGACAGAATGTGGGATTCTGTGCACCATTATGCTGAGATGGGAGGACGGGACCGTCAGGTGATGGGCAGAGGCCTGCAGGCATCTGCTGCCTGGTTTGGGACCAGAGGGAGCTCCGATCTGGGAAGTGCAGCACAGACTTTGGGGACCCTTTGCAATAAAAAGGGGGTAATGGCTGGCTGCAGCCGTCTGCCTGTTCACATGTCTGCCAGTTAATTTACATGTTTAGTGATTTGGTTTCCTTCTTTTTTTTCAGCCACCAGGCTCAGACGACATGCTGGGACCACCCCAAGATGACCGAGTTATACCAAACGCTAGGTAAGAGCCACTCTAGGCACCTCCCTTGGGGACCCCACTGCATGAGCCCATGGAGAGCACTGATTCACACAGCCTCTCCTTTCCATGCCCTTTATACGACAGGACTCGGAGCAATCCCCCAGTGCACCCTGACAAGTGGCAGAACTCCCTCCGCTTAGCTCCCCTCAATATAATGGATCCAGAGTCTCGCAGAGACCTGGTGTGATTCTGTGCTGTCTTCTGTCACGCTCGCTCCTCCTCACCTTTTGTCCCTGATGGAGGATTGATCCTTTTGTTTGTTAGAATTGGCACAACATCCTTTGGCTTGGGTTCTGTGCTAATTCAAAGGACACTTTCCCCTGCAAAGTCTGTGACTGGTGAGTGCTCCTTTCCCTGCCTCTGAGAATGAAGATGCACAGGCCACAGTTATATTCAATTCTTTCATGTTGTTTTGCAGCCGATTTGAACAACATCAAATTCTCTGCGTATCGGACAGCCATGAAGCTGCGCCGTGTCCAGAAAGCTCTGCGGTGTGAGTACCAGACACTGTCCTTGCCTCTCCTGCCCTCCTGCTCTGGGGAGCCTTTCAGTGCTTACAAGGAGAGGTTGGAGCGCAGCAACTGATTTGGGTTTGGGGTTGGTTCGATGAGACTGTCAACTCTCTCTGATCAAGTTCAACAATTATGTTAATGGTAGGGTCAGTCCTACCCTCACGTCAGAGCCCCTGTGATTCTTTTGGCTTTTCAGTCCCATTTTCCTCTGCTTTCACATCTTTTTCTCTGCTACGTTGCTGTGGAAGGCCAACACAAAGAGGGGAAACTGACTCGCTGGGCAGTGAGACGCTACACAAAGTGCTCTCCAATGGCCAGAGTAAACACACGGAAAAAAACAGTGAGACACGGCTTCCCTGTAATCTTTCAGTGACTGGGATCTTAGCTGTTACCTGTAACCACAGTAGGGGAAAGAATGCCAGACAGAAAGGTGGCTTTTAAATAGATGGTGGCTCTTTGATGATGTATTTTTGTAGTGTTTGGGACTGATGTCTTCAGAGAAGGTGTCCATACCTCTCCTCTTCATTCTGATCTGTAATGTTTCCTTTCCCTGTTCCTCCAATCCCTCACTTCTCTGCCCCTGGCCTGCTCAGTGGACCTGGTGACTCTGGACACAGCCTTGGAAATCTTTAATGAGCACGAGCTACAGCCCAGCGATCGTGTGATGGACGTGGTGGAGGTCATCCACTGCCTGACTGCCCTCTATGAGCGGCTGGAGGAGGAGAGGGGCATTCTGGTCAACGTGCCGCTCTGCGTGGACATGAGTCTCAACTGGCTGCTCAACGTTTTCGATAGGTACCTGCTCTCAGCTTCCCTGACTCCTTTCAAAGCCATAAAGCTGCCGCTGCTGGAGCCTGCACACTGCCTGGGCACTGCGTGGAGGGGAACCTCACTTCTGGAGCTCGGGTGGGTACAGCCAGGCCAGTGCTGCAAGGAAGCTCACACTGCCATGGGCTGGGGCCCAGCTGGCATAGGCAGGGCACTCCTGGGAAGAAGTTGGCATTGCAGTGGTCCAGCTGGCATTGCTGGGAGGAAGCTCATGCTGTTGAACACCCAGCAGGCACTCACTGGGCTCTGTTAAGAAAACGACCTTCGCAGAACAGAGGGGCTCAGCGTTGTGCCTCTCTGTTTTTCAGCGGTCGCAGCGGGAAGATGCGAGTGCTGTCCTTCAAGACTGGCATTGCATGTCTGTGTGGCACAGAGGTGAAGGAGAAATTCCAGTGTGAGTCACCACCCAGGGTCCGTGGAATAACTAGGTCAGAGCAGGAGTGGGAGGCTTCCGGGCTTAGTGAAGTTTCTGAGCAAGGAGGCCTGCCTGATGGGAGCCTCCTACCATGACTAATCTCTGCATTATGACTCCCCCTCTCTCTCTGAATCCCATACCTCCTAGATTAGTAGGCTGGGACTACAATGCTGCAGTGCAAATATAGACACACTTGGGTGAACTCCTCAGCTCAGCTGTGGCAAAGAGTCAGTCTCGGGATCAGAGCTCCAAGCCTTGCTTCATCTCCGTCCTCTCGCTTCCCTTCCTCTTGCCCGAATAAAGCTGCATCCCCAGCCATGGGGTGGGGGGTAGGCACGCACCTGTACAACTGTAGTAGGAGTGTCTTTGCTATTGGTCTCTCACCCTTGTTCTCTTCATTGCTGTGGTGCTGGGCCACCTCCCGGCAGATCTCTTTGGCCAGGTGGCGAATCCCGGCGGTCTGTGCGACCAGCGGCACCTCAGTATCCTGCTGCATGAGGCCATTCAGGTTCCGCGCCAGTTGGGAGAGGTGGCGGCGTTTGGGGGCAGCAATGTGGAGCCCAGTGTCCGCAGCTGCTTCCGCTTCGTAAGTAACGTCAGTGGCGATGCATCCTTCTGCCTTTTCCCTTCCTGTGAGGGGTCCATCCAATGGGCAGGGAGGCAGTGGCAGCAGCTCTGGGAACGGCTCCGGGGGAGATCAGTGTCGGAGCTACCTCCTGTGACGTATATGCCTTTTCTGAAGTGGGTATGGTACCAGCTCAGCAGGGAGAGGGACAGAGATGCGGGGATGGAACAGGAGCCACCCCGGGTATTGGTTAGCAGAGATCTCTGCCTCGCTCCGTGCTTGGAGCCATGAAGGTGTTTCACAGCGTGATCTGCTCCTCTCTCTCTCCTCTTTCCTCAGAGTAATGGGAAGCCTGTGATCGAGGTCGTCCAGTTCCTGGAATGGGCCAACCTGGAGCCACAGTCCATGGTGTGGCTGGCTGTCCTGCACAGAGTGACCATTGCTGAGCAGGTGAAGCACCAAACCAAGTGCTCTGTCTGCAAACAGTGTCCCATCAAAGGCTTCAGGTACGAAGAGCAACTGTGTGTGCAGTCCCTGCAGCCAGTTTAGGAGCAAGGGGAACTGTGCGGGAACCAGTGATAGTGGGGTTACACTGGGATGAATCTCACCCGAGTGCTAGACAAACCCACTCCTGGCAGAGACCTCATCTCCCAGCCTCAGGGGAGAGTGGGTGAGGGTGGGGACCCTGCGTGGAATGGGACCTCAGCCCAGTCTCCTGGAGGCGGTCTGCTGGACCCTGGCTCAGGGTGACCCAGCTGTCAAGTTCGTGACCTCTGTGAAATGACTTGATAGACGTTTATCCCCTGGACGGAGACCATCACAAAGCACCAGCTGCAGGTACTTATGGGACCCTTAGCTGGCTACCTCAGCAGGGAGACTGAGCTGCTTTCCCATGCCAGTAGGGCAGAGGCCTGTCAGCAGATCCGAGGGAAGCTTGCGCTGCCCAGGCCATGCCTGATGTGCAGATAGCAGCCGCCAACCCAGGGCCACAGTTACACCAAACATGTTAAAATAAAAAGGGTGTGCTGGGGCCATGGGGCTGGGGTGGGTGGGGTCCCCACCCTCACCCTCTCTCCCCTGAGGCTGGGAGATGAGGTCTCTGCCAGGAGCGGGTTTGTCTAGCACTTGGGCAGGCTGTGGCCATTCTGGAGGCATTACTGGTGGGCCCCCACCAGCAGGGGCAGGTCAACAGCTGGACCCTGTGCTGAAAAGGCCATTTGCCCTAAACTTGCAGTAGGTTTTAGATGTGACCTCTGACCTCCATGTCAATAATTTGGGCATTCATATCAGCAGTGCCTCAGACAGGTCCTGCCACAAATATCAAATGGAGAGACCCTTTGTCCCTGCAGGAAGAGAGAGAGGGAGCTGGCTGGCTTCTGGGGACAGTGAATGGGTCAGCGCCTCTGAGCCGTGCTTTAGGTTCAGTGATGTACAAGAAAAACCAGAGCTGCCGTGATCTGTGAGGAGCACACGGTGTGAGCCAGACATGCTACCGCAGAGCGGTCCCCTGCTGAGAGCCCCTGGGGGCGGGAGGCTTGGAGACAAAGCATCAAAGATTGATGCTGTCTCCCTAACTGCACTTCATCTTCCCAGGTACCGCAGCCTGAAGCAGTTCAACGTGGATATCTGTCAGACCTGCTTCCTGACCGGACGAGCCAGCAAAGGGAACAAGCTCCACTATCCCATCATGGAGTACTATACCCCGGTACGAAGCTGGGGTGCCCGCTGTCGTGCTGGGAGAGCTGAGCACTCGCTGTCTCACGTGGCTAGGGAGCCAAGGGCAGCCAGCCTAGGGTATTGCAGGAAACTCTTCATTCAGTGCTGTACCCTCCTCCTGCTGCGGGTAGCCTTGTGCAGTGCCAGAAATGGCTTAGCCGATGTTTTGTTCAGCTCTGCCTGTGCGTGACAGAAGCTGCCTACACAAGTGCATTTTGCTGATTACAAAGCTGTCACGGTAAACACAGGCTCTGCCCCTCCAGCCCGTTCATGCAAAGTGCAGAGACAGTCCCCGATACTGTGCATGTTGGCATGGCCTTGCACTGTGATATGACCAGCCACACTCCTGATTCCATGTGCAGCTGTTTGCTCGTGCTCTTCCCTGCTCGTTGCACAATTCTTGCATGCGTCTTTGGCCTGTGCTCTGGAAACTCTCCCCCTCTGCCCTGTTTGAGGCTGGGCTTGAGGGATTTCTTTCCTCTGGATGTCCCCACCCCTTACTCACTAAAGCCTTGGTGTGTCTGTTTCTCTGCAGACCACCTCTAGTGAGAACATGAGGGACTTTGCTACGACTCTAAAAAACAAGTTCCGGACCAAGCAGTACTTCAGCAAGCATCCACAGAGAGGCTACCTGCCCGTCCAGTCTGTGCTGGAAGCTGACTTCAGTGAGACGTGAGTGCTACTGTGGCACCAACCAGCCCTGTCTGATACTCCTCCCCCGCCCTCCCAGATACACACAGATGGGGACCTGCCAGTTGCAGGGGAGGGGGGCAGAAATTCAAATTGAAATGATCCCACTGCAGGGATCAGAGGGTGAAGATGGTTCAGGTTTCACTCTAGAGGCTGGATTGGTGTCTAGGCCTTGGAAGAAGATCTGGGATTCCCATCGCTCTCCCTTGATGGAGGGTTTGGTGGAGATGCTGCTTCCAGCTTCCTGTTTAACCTCACGGGAGTGATGCTTCTCCAAACTGTCCCTGGCACTTCTAGACCCAAATGAGACCAGGGTAGCTTCTCGTAGTCAGAGGTCAGAGTAAGGAACCACAGAGCCTCACTGACCTGTGTGTGTCTCTTCCAGACCAGCCTCCTCCCCGATGTTACCGCATGCCGATACCCACTCCCGGATCGAACACTTCGCCAGCAGGTACCACACGCCGGTGCAGGCTGCCCAATGAGGTCTCCTGTCCGCCTTGTGTGCAGCCTTCACTCTGCAATTTGCAGGGTGAAGTAACCCCAACAATCCAAGTGCCCCCACCTCCTCCACACAGGCCTCTACTGGGGCTTTCCAGGCGACACTAACTAAAATCACTTCACAGATCGTGGCTAAAATTGGCTCAGGTTAGTTCCAAAACATGGAGCCCTGGTCCTGGGAGGGGAAGAAGGGTAGTGACGCAGCTGCAGGGCCCCCCTTTGGAGTGGGATGCCCAGATGGGCTAATCTGGGCTGGGATGCGACCATTCTGTTTCTACGGAACCTTTATTTTCATTCATGAAATTTTGTATTTAAAGAAGAGGCCTACTGAGCTACCATGCTTCCCCTAAGAGACAAGCCAGACCGCTGTCCAAGCCAGTTACACCCTCACCAACCCCCTTGGGGTTTTTGTTTCCAGCCACCTGCCTCAGGTCATCCCATGGGACTTCATGGGCCCCACTGCTGTAGCTTTCCAATCCATAAAGCATAGTTCCACCCAACACCCCTGTGAGACAGGGCAGTGCTATTGTCCCCATTACCCAGGTGTGGAACTGAGCACAGAGATGAGGGCCCTGATCCACACAGGTATTTAGGCTTCAATTGCACTTAAATCAATGATTTAGAAACATAAACACCTGTGTGGATCTGGGCCTAAGTGCCTAGGGCAAGGCCACACCGGGGCTCTGTGATGAAGCTGGGAATTGACCCTGGGTCTCCCAGACCAGTGCCCTAATACTACCCCACCCTCCAGGTAGGATTGAAGTCCATATGCTACATGGAACAGCTGCTCAGTTGTGATGAGCCCTGGGTGGCCTCCACATGGAGGGCTCATCTCTCTCAGGACAATCTACCCATGTTTACAATTTTTTTCTATGAAGGACAAAAATGTTTAGAACAAAAAAAAGTGACAGGGACACTGGGGGCAGAACAGCTGAGAAGACGTCCAGTCTAGTTGTCTGCAGGAGACCCCGGGAACTGTGGTGTATAGAACATACAGACACATCCACTGGTTCTCCTGGGCACGTATGAACACAGTTTTGTTTCCCCAGGCTCGCGGAGATGGAAAGCCAGAACTGTTCCTTGTTTAATGACAGCTTGTCCCCAGACGATAGCCTGTGAGTTGATGCATCTCTCGATATTTTGAATGTATTTCTCTGCAAAGCTTGCATGGGGAGATATACTGAGGCTGGCTGTCTGGGGCATGTGAGAAGCTCCTCCTCTATTATCTGTCCTGCCCTATCTGTGGTGCATAGTCACCCTCTGTACCCAGGAGTTCGATTCTCCTGTTCTAAGCAATACAGAACCAGCCTCTCTTGTACAAAAATCCCTCCGTACAGCTGTTCCTTCCACTCGCGCTCCCATCGCTAGAGTTCCCTCACCGATCTCCTCCTGGTGTTTTGTGACAGGGATGAGGATCAGTACCTGTTGCGTCACTCCAGCCCAATCACAGACGGAGAGCTGGTGTGCAGCCCAAAGGTCGAGGACAGCCTAAACACAGAGGATAAGGGGGAGCTGGAGAGAATCCTGGCCCACTTAGAGGATGAGAACAGGTATGTGTGTGGCCAAAAGCCATGGCTAGCAGGTGAGACTGGGGTTGGTTCAAAGGGGAAAGGAGCCAGAGAAACACTGTCTTAGCCGGCTCACCAAGGGCTGGACGAGCAGGCAGGAGTTCAGAGAGGAGCGATGGAAACAATTGCAGGCGCTGGGGGGAATGACTGATGGAAGGGGATGGATACAGCACAATATGTCTAGCTTGACTGAGATGTGAGAACTGTCTGCAGGTGTTGGGAGGGGACGGGACACATCACAGAGCTGCATTGTTTAGCTCCAGTAAGTATAACTTGGAGTGATGGGGTGAAGTGGAGGAAGGGGACATGTAGGCTCACTAGTAATCAAACTTCTGGAGAGCAAGTGGTATTAAAGTGGCACAGTCTCCCGTGGGAAGTGGCAGGAGCCCTGTTATCTGAGACATCTAAAGCAAGACTGGAAAATATTCTGCAGGGAGCAGCTTTGTTCTGACCTAGGTACTAGCTGAACAAGCCATTGTAGGTCTCTTCTGTCTCCCATTTCTTTGATTTATCACCATTGCTGGGCAGCTATGGCCCAAGCACTGAGGAGCCATCTGCCAGGCGCAGAGCTACGTTCAGAGGGAGGCTTATTTCCTAGAGCTGAGCTGTTTGTTTCCCGCAAGTTTAGTTCATTGCTGACGTGTTTAGGAAACTGTTGGGAACTGGTACAGAACGAGGGGCAGGTATCAACTTGGTGCCAGGCAGAGAATTCAGGGGATGCTGAATCCTGAGCTCTCAGACAAACGTGGTGGTAAGGAATCAGCCCAGTGGGGCTTTCTCGGTGGCGGGTTGTCCATCCTGTGCCCACAGTTGCTGCTGGGGGCCAGTTCAGGGATTCCAGTCTTCTCCCCAGAGCTGGTGGAGTCACTGCTTGGATCCTGACTGTCCCTTCTGCAGGATCCTCCAAAGAGAGCTGAGACGTCTGAAATGGCAGCACGATGAGGCAGTGGAGTCCCCCACTGTGGCAGAAGGGTCTCCGGAATCAGCCCAAGAGCCACACAATGATGAGCTCCTGGCTGAAGCAAGGATCCTTCGGCAACACAAGAGCCGCCTGGAGACCCGAATGCAGATCCTGGAGGACCATAACAAGCAGCTGGAATCCCAGCTGCATCGCCTCAGAGAGTTGCTACTGCAGGTACCTCACAGGGATCAGATGGAGAGCATGGTGCAGAGTCCAGTATCTGAGAGGGCTTTGGTATGATGGGTTGGGAGAGGAGCTGCAATACTGCGGGCAGGGAGGCTGATGTGGGCGGCAGGTTCTGGTAATGGATGTGCAGAAGGTTGCAGGCCAACAACAAGGAAGGAGGAACGTGGAACCAGGGAGCATCAGAAAACTTTTTTATGATGTCTCCTTTCTCTTTCCAGCCACCGACTGATTTGGACGTCAATGGCTCTGCGGCCTCTTCCTTGGCTTCCTCGCCCCATCCGTCGGAGGGAAGCCAGCCCAGGGAGAAGGAGCACAACACCCCTGAAACTGAAGCTGCAGGTGAGGCTCTGGAGTTGGATGTTAGATCTCTTGTGCCCCTTGCCAGCCCCGGTCACCTGCCTGGGGCCTCATCCCCATTCCCTGTGACATGCCAAGATATGGGTGGGTCATTGTGCTACAAGAAAGGCCCATTCATCTGCTGATCAGAGTGGAGAGCTGGAGTGTCCAGTGCACTCAGTCGCTCTGCTGTCACCAGCCCGTCACCTTTCTGGTCTGCCCTGCTATGAAACACAGATCTTCGCTTTCTAGGTTCTCCAGCCCTCTGCTTTATGAGCAGCCGTGCACTGCCTAGCCCCATGAACAGGGCATCTGTCTGCAGTGCTGCCAGTCCCTAACCTGTCTCCTGATCACACTGTCCTGCCTTGTGGATCTAGCCTACCTGGTATCCGTAAGGAGTTAAATCTCTGAAAAATGCCTATAATCGCAGCTTTGCTTTTTCTCTACCCCTCCCCAGATGAGGTGGAGACGAGGGCACGGGATGTCAGTCTGTGTTTGGAGGACATCATGGAGAAACTGAGGAGTGCCTTCCCCAACTCCCAAGGTACTGGAGTGAAATCCCCTTCACTGGTTTCTTACTCCTCTCTAAAATGAGTGTCTTACTTGGCTCAAATGAAGACCTAGCCCTCGTTCAGCCAATCCTGCAACAATTGGCTCCCAGCAGTCACACGCTGCCAAAGAGCTGCTTGGACTTGTGGTGGCATAGATTTCAGGGAGGAGGAGAAGGAATTCCCCCTAACTGTGGAAAAGCTCTGCAACTGCTAAGAACTGTAGCCTTTGGCTCAGGAGAGTGCAACTAGACATAGGGGCAGCCTTCTGCCCTGGAGAGAGACATCAGTCACGGGAGCTCTGTGCTCCAGATGGTTTCCACTGCTGCTGAAAAGGAACATACCTGACTCCATCAGGTTCCTGGTATCGCTAAATCTGATCACTTTGAACCAACTCCCCTCTCTCCATCCCAGCCTGGAGCCACTACCCATCACCCTAATGAGGCGGCAAAGACCAGACCCCTTCACATATCTGAAGAAATCACTCATGTCCTCCTAGATACTCAGAAAAAGCCAATTCTCAGCGGGGAACGTTTAGTAGCTGGTGTTACTGTGAATGGCCCACTCTCTTCACACAACACCGGCATGGTCTTTGGATAGGGCTTGGGATTTAGCACCTCTAACACTGGGCTATTGCTTGAGCAATGCCTCTTTAATAGCTACTGGACATGGCTGCTCTTTTAATCTTGTGTTATAGCTCCATAATCCTTCATGTGAACCTCCTTTCCTGCTCCAATACAACAGACCAGGGGTTCCTGTGTGTGTGCTGGGGAGAACTTTCTGGCGAATCTCCGTCCACTCAGTTTATTGATGTGATGGTTCTAACCAAGGTGGCTTCCAAATTCCATCTCATGTGACCTCTTGACTTTTCTTTCAGGTGTGACCTCCTGTATCTAACACCTCCTGCGGGTAAGAGGCTTTGTCTAACCAGCTTCTTGATTGCTTTCCTCCCCCACCTCTCACCCTCTTACTCTTCCTGGGATGGGCTTCCCTCAGACCCTCTTGGGGGCACTCCAGTGAATGGCCTCCATGAAGTCCACCAACGTCAGAAGATCTCAGGGGAACGGCTACTGGCCACGTGGGAATGTGACTGCAGGATCTGTGGAGTGCTGGCTGGAGCCATCCTGAATGACCAGCCAGTTCTGACCAAGTGTTCTGGGGTCTGGTTTTAAGGAACTCTATAAAGCATTCAAAAGAAACCCAGGAACTGAAACCCTGAGATGGTACTGAACATGAAACACAGGCAGAGACTTCCCCCTCCCTCGCTGGTCACAAACTGTCGCCCTCCTTATAAGGAAAGGTAAGGTAAGGAAATCGCCTACAGGGGATGGCAGAGCCCTGCCCAGCCTTGACTCACTTCAGCTGTGTGGGCTGCTTCTGCTCCCAGACAGTCTCCTGCTGGGCACCAGGCAGCCTAATGCTCCCGCAGCAACTGGACAGTAAACAGCCTCCGAGTATCTATTTTAATACCTTTTTTGTTAACTGCCAAAGGCTGTGAGTCTGACTAACTGAACTCTGTCAATTGCCTGGTACCCCGGGATCTCCAGGTCCAGGCTGGGGGTGCTTGCCTAGTGGGAACAGTGCAGGGAGGGCGAAAGGGGGAAGGGAGGAGTTAATAAAACAGCTTCAGCCCAGCTAGTAGCCTTATCTGGAGAGGAGCTTTATAACAGAGAGCCTTAGCATTTAATTTACCATATATATATATATATATATATATATATATAAATATATATATATATAAAAATGTACTTAGATACTATCGTGGACTCACTCACGCATTAAATTCTAATACCTTGTTCAGTGATAATTTCCGCCTCACTCATTGGGTCTATTCGAGCATCTGCTTTTGAGAGGACAGTACCTTCTGTGCTATCATTTACTCTTACAACTCCCCATCAGAGGCATGGTTTGTGCTGCCCCTGGCCTAGAAACTCCCCCTAGGTGATCTCAGTGCAGTGGGATTGACTAGTGGCACTAGGATGCGAATCCAGGGTTCATTTCCCTTCTGAGCTGTCTGTCACTATAACACCGGAGTCAGGGCTGGAACAACCTCCCCTCCCATAGTTATAATAAGGGGCCCCAGCTCCTCCCAGGATGGAAAATTAAACTAAATAAAACAGGTGGCCCCGATCTATCAGCTGAATCCCGACACATTGGCAATGGGGGATTATCCCAGCAACAAAGACGTGTGTCTAGTGGGTTCTTCGTATTCATCTCTCCTGAGGCCGTTAGAGACTTTAGCTCTGGTCCCCTGGCTGCTCACCGACTTTGTTATGCCCATTTGGCAGTTCCATCCCATGCGGCAGGCTCTCCTCCATTTCATAGAATCATAGAATATCAGGGTTGGAAAGGACCTCAGGAGGTCATCTAGTCCAACCCCCTGCTCAAAGTAGGACCGATCCCCAATTAAATCATCCCAGCCAGGGCTTTGTCAAGCCTGACCTTAAAAACTTCTAAGGAAGGAGATTCCACCACCTCCCTAGGTAACACATTCCAGTGTTTTACCATTTCTACATCTGGTAGGTAAATGTGCTCCTTTTCTTCTAGGGTGTTGCAAGAGAAATGGGCAGGCTCACATCTCTTGGTGACACTTAGCCATTGTGATGTATCAGGACATGATGTTGTGAGGCAGTGGCACCGGCCAGAGCCATATCAGGAAGGAGATGGAGCTGTGCTCTGGTGAGCTCCATCATGCTTCTAAAAATCTCTCCCTCTTCATCTGGAGCTAGGGCCCCTAGACCATTTGCTGCAACCCAGGAAGCTGTTTGGTTTGGGATCCCAGAGGGTACAACTGGGGTCTCTCCTTAAATGAGGGAACTATTTGGCACGGGGTGTGTGTGTGTGTACAAAACTTGTGTTGCAAGCATGCAGGATTGTGTTGTGTCTTGTAGCACAGCAATGTGTTCTCTGGAACACTTGGATCTGGAAGGCTCCAGAAAGTTGTCTGTCTGGGACAAAGTGTTATGGTTGAGAAGACTGCAGAGCTGGGGGGCTGCAACATGTTCTCCAGTGGGGAAAGGTACCCTGGGAATGGGGTGGAATGTTCTTTCTTGGCGGGGAGGGGCTGTGAGGTGCAAGGCAATAAGGTTGCAGTGTAGTAGAGGCATAATAGGAAGTTTTATGAAGAACAGCGTGGAATGTCATATGCAGACTGTGTGTGTTAGGGTTGCTACATTCTCCAAAGCTGATGACATTAGGCATATTATATGGGGAGCTCATCACAGAACTCCAGAGTCAAAATAACCTGTGTTGTGGGGATCTGACTGCTGCAGCTGTGCATTGGAAAAGTTCTGGTTTGCTTTGCTGTTTGCTCTTGTGTATTGAAGGTGCTGAGAAGACTGTGGTGTTAGGACTGCAGTAGCGTATTGTGGCCTGGTAGGTGGCTGCAGTGGGGTGGGTATAAGGCGCTTTAGAGTGCTGTGTTAGGTTTGAGGGAGTGCTCTGGTGTCTTGGAGGTTCTGTGTGATACTGACTTTGTGGTGGTATATTGTGTAATGTTGTAGATCTTGTTTGGTGCAGCATGTTGTGGATTATGAGGCTTGCTGTAGTACACTGTACATTGTGCATAGGAGTTCCTGTGATCAGTGATGTTGTGTAGTAAAAGGTCCTGTGGATTTTGGTGTCTCTTCATAGCCCAGTGAATTGCTGTCCTGTGAGGTATATTGGAAGCACTGTAGATTGCTATAGCATGCTGTTTACTGGAGGCGCTGTGGATTGCGGTATTAAGCTTAGTGTAGCAGGTAGGGCAGTAGGGTTAATGTGTATTGAGTGGCCAAATGTGGGGACTTGTCCTGTGTGAGGGCAGCTGTAGAAGGCTGTGGATTGTGTGTGAGGAGCAACACAATGTTCTCTCAGTGCTGCCGCGATGGAAATTGCTGTGGCCCATTCTCTGCCAGGAATGTCATCAGTGGAGCCACTCATGAGTGGGGATTGACCAGTCCAGTGGAGGAGCATGTGTCTCTGCAGAGACAGTCTTGCAGGTTCTGCGTTTGGGACCAGTGCAGAAGGCTCAGGCTGGGTGATGCTGCCGGAAGCTGGGGAGAGCTCTCACGGATGGGACCGCCTGAGACACAGACCCTGACAAAGTGAGAGCACCCTCTGTAGTTGCTGTTCCCCAGAGGAATTGCTGCTGGCTTTGCCCTTGGGAATCTCACCAGCCCACATCAGGCTCCATGCTGGTCCCCCTGGCTCCAGTCCATCAGGGAGGAGCGGCTTTGGATTCATCCAGACCAAACTGTTGCACTTCTCCTTCTAGGTAGAGGCTAGGAGAAAAGTAGAGGAAACCGCAATTGCACCCTCTCTAGCCTAGTCAGGCCCTAAGTGAGAGGAGCAAGTCAGACAGGTGGTGTTCACCTCATCTGCTTTACCACCATGCTTCACAGGCACAAACAACTTAGCCCTAGTGCTAGGAGAGCCGGGAAAGGTTTGTTCCTACCATGGCCTGTGGCTTCCAAGGCTGCCTGCCACATGGAGACCCAGGCGGAGGGCCCTGTTGCAGTGATGATTGGAACCACCCGTTATCAGCTGTGGGATGGGGCAGGAGATGGCTCCCTCTGCTAGCAAACTGGAGAAGGGCTAGCAGGGATATCGTTTTGCCTGTGGAAGGGTGAGACTGGGAAGTGGCTAAGAATGAGAGAGAGAGGCAAGATTCGAGCAAAGGCACCTCTAAAAACATGTTCAGGAGTTGTTGCTTTTCCCTGCATGAAATCTCCCTTCTGGGGAGCAGAGGCCAGGGCCTGCTCATCTCCCCAACTGGTTTAGAGCGGTGGCCGGCATGATCAGTGACAGAGTTTAAGGCCAGAAGGGACCACTACCTCCTGTTTATCACAAGCCACCAACACCCCAGCCCCCGCATACAAAACCCAGCAACTGGAATTAGGCCAAGTATCACAGGACACTAAACTATGACATGCCACAGGCAGAGGACAGAAGGACTGAGGTGCACCAGTGCCCGAGGCCCCTGCACTGTCAGGGAAATGATTAAACGAGACCCCCAGATAATCCTGGCAAGTGACCCATGCCCTCATGCTACAGAGGAAGATGGAAACACCCCAAAGGCACTGCCCATCTGAGCGCCTGGGTTAGTGTCTTAGTGTTCCATCTGAACACAAAACGATTGATAGTTATTGACAGTGCAATAAGCCCAGAGAGTGGGACCCCCTGCAGCTGAAGGGTCCCACTGCTTTACTAGACCCTCAACCCTGGGTGCTCCTTGGTGTCCCCTGTGCTCTGCCCTCCTTGAATTCAAGTGTTCCTGGACATTCCCCAGTCTCAGACCTATCTACAGCATTCTCCCTCTTCCCCTGCCCAGGCTTGGCTCCCCATCTCATGATGGCTTTGCAGCACTCCAGAGCTTTCTTTGCTATGAGTGCTAATCTAGGCCCTGATTAAAACCACCTGATACACTAATGTAATTAGTGGGGTTTTTAGCTATAAAATGACAGGCCTCCAGTTTCTCTTGTACCTCCTCTGAGCTCCTTCCCTTAATCACTGAGGCCTAGATCCTCAAAGGTATTTGGGCACCTAATTCCCATGTGTTAGGTGTCTAAATACCTTTGAGACTCAGACCTGATTGCTTTGCCCTCTTTCGCTTTGGAAAGGGCAGCTGTAGAGAATCAGATCTCTCCCTGAGCTAGCTCTGCACTGTAAGTAAATATACAGCCAAGGCCAACCGGCCGAACCTCTAGGACATTTTCTTTATAAGCTAAGATTGTATTGTGCATAAGTGAGTTCAGGATTTCTGTTAAAGCTGGGAAGGGAACAAACTAGTTAACTCTGGGTACTGTTTGCTGTGGTGCTGTCCTCACTGGCTTCTCTCTATTTCTGCTTTAGAAAAAGAGAATAAATTTGTATTTATATTGATACTTTGGCTGGTGCTTTGGCCTTGTTATTTCTGTTGTTTCCCCTCCCTCTCTCCCTGGGAAGCTGCCATTCTGGGCTTCCCTGTCTGCATCCCACTACTAAGTGCCAGAGTATGGAAAGCAACTTCCCTTGGAACTGGAATATGTTACTGCACAATCATCCATCCCCTCTTTTCTCTGCTTCCTTTATTGCAAGAACCTGGCACAGGATGCTCGGATGAGTGACCCACTACTCAGATTCTTGTGGGTGGCTATGGTCCTACTCTAGACCAAATTTGCTTGGCTTACAAGTGGTGGTTTTCCTCTCTGCCAGTGCCACAAACTCACCCTGGGATCTGGAAGCAGAGCTCGCTTCTTCTTTGGCTCATGCATCATTGCCAGGACTAATGGCTCAGCAATGGGAACTTCATTAACAATTCTGTATATGAAATGAGGCCAGACCAGAATCCAGCTCCCTCTCCCAGGGCACTGCTGGCTCTGCAGGTGTGAATGTTTGTCATTAGCAGCAAGTAGTTAAGAGTCTGGTTACACAAAGGGGCCACTAAATAAAGGAGGTGCCTGTTTTTCCAGGCTCTTCTCTGATTATAGCTCAACTCTGTTCATGCATCCGCTGAAGTGAGCTGTAGCTCACAAAAGCTTGTGCTCAAATAAATTTGTTAGTCTCTACGGTGCCACAGGTCCTCCTTTTCTTTTTGAGGATACAGACTAACATGGCTGCTACTCTGAAATCTGTTGACAAAATCTGCTCAATTTTTAAAAATAGCTAAAACCCAGGGCTCTAGTTGTAAAGTCCCATGTTCCTAGCTTAGACGATTTTTCTTTGCCTGTTGTGTGGAAGAACCTTACAAACAGGGGATCCCAAGTGCACGAGACAGGAAACCCTGGAAAGAGATTTCTCCTCCTCCTGCCAAACCCTCTCTGTCTCCCCACTCCAAAACACACTTTGGGCACTAGTGACTCCAGGATGGTTTTTGTTTTACCTAGCCTTCTACTCTTTCAGCCAGGAAAGTGGCTTTTCAGTTGCCTTTAGCCTAACAGGTCCAGGCATATTGTCCTGAGAATCTCAACGTTCTTTACAAGCACTCCTGATTATGCCTAAACACCCCAAATGAGGGAATTAAGGCATAGATGAGCTGAAGGGCTTGCCCAAGGTCAGAGGCTGACAGAACTCCTGGATTCTAGTCCTAGCGCTAACTCCCACCCTATCCCTCCCTCCCTTTTAATTTATAAGGGGCAGAAGCCAGGTCTCTGCTACTAATGGTGGACCAGCATGAGCTCTCAGTAGTCCTGGTTGTAGTTCTACAGGGGCCTCCCCTGTTCCCTTCCCCAAGCCTCCTCCCATGGTCAGTTCAGTCACAGCATTTGGGAGCCCCCTCCCACCATATGAAAAAGGGGGAGCTGAACTGGGTCCTGACCTGCTGGTGCTGAACTCCAGTGCAGACAGAGCTCTGGGCAGATCAGAGGCCTATAGACACTAATAACTTCCCCATCCTGCTTCCCACTCTGAATCCAGCCTTTGGTCCCATGGATTACACCAGTAAATGGGGATAATTTCCCCCCTTCTTGCCTGCTGCTCCCTATACACCCCTCCCCCACAACTCTGCCCTAAAGGCAAAGTGAAAACAGTGAGTTCCACCCCTTTCAGACAGGTTTCAGGGTGGTAGCCGTGTTAGTCTGTATCAGCAAAAAGAATGAAGAGTCCTTGTGGCACCTTAGAGACTAACATTTATCTGAGCACAAGTTTTGGTGGGCTAAAACCCACTTCATCAGATGCATGCAGTGGAAAATACAGTAGGCGTGCGCGCACACACACAAAAAAATGAAACAATGGGTATTGCCATACCAACTATAACGAGAGTGATCAGTCAAGAATTATAACATTCAAAAACCAGTCGGAGAACACTTCAATCTCCCTGGTCACTCGGTTACAGACCTAAAAGTCGCTATAATATAACAAAAAAAACTTCAAAAACAGACTCCAGTGAGAAACTGCTGAATTGGAATTAATTTGCAAACTGGACACCATTAAATTAGGCTTGAATAAAGACTGGGAGTGGATGGGTCATTACACAAAGTAAAACTATTTCCCCATGCTTATCCCCCCCCCCCACTGTTACTCAAACCTTCTTCTCAACTATTGGAAATGGGCCATCCTGATTATCACTACAAAAGGTTTTTTTTCTCCTGCTGATAATAGCTCACCTTAACTGATCACTCTTGTTATAGTTGGTATGGCAACCCATATTTTTGTGTGTGTGTGTATGTCTTCCTACTGTATTTTCCACTGCATGAATCTGATGAAGTGGGTTTTAGCCCACAAAAGCTTATGCTCAAATAAATGTGTTAGTCTTTAAGGTGCCACAAGTACTCCTGTTCTTTTTTCCCTTTCAGACAGTGAGCTCTGGGGGGCAGATGGCCTTGCTCCTGGGAGCTCAGATAGGGCTGTCTGTGTTTTAATAAATAACCCCCTCCTGGGGCTGGTTGGGAGGCTGGGACAAAGGGGAGATCCATGCAGGGAAAGTAAAGCTTTTCAGGGGCCAGCAGTGTTCTTGGTCTCCGGGGCAGCCTGGGATCCTGCTGGCTCAGAGACACCAATCATAGCCAGGAAAGAATCCTGCCAGAGCCTTGCCAGGAACACACTTTATTTCTCAGGGAGCAAGCTCAGCAGCAGGAAGCATTACAGGGTTTAGCACTGCTGACTCAGCACAGGGTGAGCACAGGCTCGAACACCAAGCAGAGGGCAGGCTGGGAGAGCAGGTGCATGAGGCGTCGGGCCGATTCATGAAGCAGCAGGTCGAAGATGAAGTTGGCAGCCTTGGCTCCTGCACTTTTGATTGAGGTTATGTGGTCAGATCCCGGTTTCATTGGTGACTCAGCAGTGACAGGGTTTGGGAGGAAGCCTGCCCCGTACAGATGGCAAAGAGCTCCAGCCAACGCCCAGTCACCTTTCACTGAGCCAGGGATCTTCGTTCAGGCCAGAGTCTAACTACTCACAGAGCAGCCCAGCTGGACCTGCTAGTCCCCCACATCTCAGCCTGGCCCTGGGCCCCCTGTATAGCACTTCCCTCCCTGGGCTCTCTGCTGTCCTGCACTACACTGATAGTGGCTGGGACCCTTTGCCCACCTCTCTTTGCCTGCCTAGGCAGCCCTTGTGAGCAGCAGCATTGTCCCTCAGCGCTGACCTCCCTCCAGTGTGTTAGCAAGGAAGCAACTTGTACTTCTCAACATTCATCTCAAAGCAGCCTGCTGTTCTCTGCCCCAGGCCCAACCCCTTCCCGCGAGCTCTACCCTGCTGCTTTCGTGCTGGAGCATCCTTCTGCTCTCCCTCCCCATTCTTCATCTGCCTCTGAGCTCCTTTCTCTGGCTCCTGCCCCATGACTCTCCCTGGCATTCTCTTCTCCAAGGCCTCTCTCTAGTGGTCCCTTCTGACCTTGAATGCTATGAGACCCTGCCACACAATCACCTGGGCTTGTTCTTTCCGTCTCTGCTCTGGAAAATCCTTCTCCAAGGCCTGTCTCCTCTGTCCCCAAGTTTCCTTGGCCTCTCCCTGCTCCATCAACTCCAGAATTCCCTTGGTCTGTTCCTTCCCCTGGCTCTTCCCTCTCTGCTTCTATGTTCCCTTCTCCCGATCCTGTCTCCTCCATCCCACCATCGACCCCAGAATTCCCTTGGTCTGTTCCTTCCCCTGGCTCTTCCCTCTCTGCTTCTATGTTCCCTTCTCCCGATCCTGTCTCCTCCATCCCGCCATCGACCCTAGAATTCCCTTGGTCTGTTCCTTCCCCTGGCTCTTCCCTCTCTGCTTCTATGTTCCCTTCTCCTGATCCTGTCTCCTCCATCCCGCCATCGACCCCAGAATTCCCTTGGTCTGGTCCTTTCCCTGGCTCTTCCCTCTCTGCTCTGGCACTCTCTTCCCCAAGTCCTGTCTCTGCTCCAGACTCTCCCAGGCCTTGTTCCCTCTTTGCCTGTGTGTTCTCTTCTCCAAGTCCTGTCTCTCTGGTACCCGCTTCTGCTCCAGAAATCCCTTGGTCTTGTTCTTCCTCCTTGGCTGTGGAGCTCTCTGTTCTCAGTCCTGTCTCCTCTCTACCTTCCCCAGAATCTCCTCCCTCCTGCCTGCCAACTCCAGCATTCCCGTCTCCTCCCCACTGCCCCTTCCCTTCTGTTGCCCCTTTGAGCTGAGGCTGCTGGAAGAGGCCCTGGTATCTCTGCCGATCTTCCACAAGTTTTTCTCTCATCCTCTCCCCCAACAGCCTCAGCTCTTTCTTCACAGCTGCTGCCAGTGACGGGTCCAGTTGAGTCACCCTCAGGAAGTCTTCTCGCGCCGCCTCCTCATTCCAGACAGCGGCATGGGCCTTTGCGCGCTTGAAGTAAGCCTTCACGTTCTCTGTCAAGTGCAGAGAAGCATGGGGTTATTTCCTTTCCTCTCTCACCCTACTCGGCCATCACGTGCCACTGTCCTGCCTGCAGAAGAGGGCCACAGGAGCCGCCTGCTGCAGGTGCTGTACCAGAGCAAAGATCTAGGCCCCGCTCCCTCCTACAGCAATCACAGCAGGGCATTGTAGTACTACACCACTCTACAGCTTGGCTCCCATTGAATTCACTGCCACGCAGTAGGATTCCAATGTAGGAACTGCCAGAGCACCCATTTAGTCCTGTGTCAGTGTCTGGCCAGTACGGCTGCTTCCCAGGAAGGTGCAAGAAAGCTCGGAGGGGACAAGTAAAGCATAGCTTGCCCACTGGGGGGCGTTTCTTAGTAGCCCCTCTCAACCGCCAGTTTGCTCATGGCCTGAAGCGTGAAGGTTTCATAGCCTAACTGGAGATGTTCTCATCGTCCAAGTCTGGCTTCTGTAATCTTACTAAGCTCTGGGCCTGCAGCTCTAGGGGCAGTGAGTGGCACAGGATGTTACACGTGGTGTGACAATATTCCCTTTCCAGGACAGAGTTCTCACAAGGGGAAAGCAGCAGATGAGAGAGATTGGAAAACACCCAGTGACCAACCCAAACTCTCAGCCAAAGTGAAGGCTACCAGCCTATTCCTGAATCTGCCACTCTGCACTAGCATGTCCGCTTGCATCACTGACTCTGCCTTCTATGGACCTAGTTCAAGCTGTGCTCCGGCTGGGTTTGAATTCCATGGAAAGCAATACTCCTCCAGTTAGCAGGTCCGCCCCTGAAACGCTTTCTGGACGTAAATGTAAGTGCTGGAGGAAGGGAGCAGAAGCCATCGAAGGGAGCAGCTGAAAACAAACTCTCAGGGGCCTGGCAGCAGGGAGGAAGCCCCTAGGGGCCTGGCAGCAGGGAGGAAGCCCCTGGGGGCCTGGCAGCAGGGAGGAAGCCCCTAGGGGCCTGGCAGCAGGGAGGAAGCCCCTGCGTGACAGGAGCGCTGGGTGCAGAGTCTCATGAGAACAAGAGCCCCTCTCTGGGAGCCTAGTGGAAGGTTGGACAGGCCAGTGGAGTGATTACCATTGTTCTTCTGGAGGAGGTCGGTGGTGTGCTCTAAGACCTCATAGTACTCCCCCAGCTCCAGCTGACACTGGCAGTAATTCAGCACCAGGGGCGTGATGAGTTTCTCCAGGCTCAACCAGTCTTCAGCCCAGGGCTTCTCCTGTTCACAAAACCAGCAACGTGCAGCGTGAAAACACTAGACCCCTCTGCCTGGGCAGAGAACTCTCAAAGGGACAGAGCGCCTGTAGCCAGGAAAGAGACAGAGTGCATCCTGTGGGGGCTTTGCAGGCAAGCTGTGGTAAATGGAGGGCAGTAGCTACCCTTGAAGTGAAACAGTCAGCATGGAGCGTGCTTGCTGGGAGCACCCCAGTGCATGCATGACCTTCAGCCATCTGGCTGAGTATGCCGTTCAAAGAGCCGCTGTTGGAGCTGTCTGGCTCCCCTCCTTGCTGGAGGCCACAGCCCAGAAGTGGCCTTTCTCAGCTACTTGCTTTCATTTAGTTTGCAGGACTTTGTACCCTGAAAACATCACCGCGAAGGCCTAGGAGTGCAGGTTCTCCCAGCCGCAGGGATCCCCGGTGTGAGCACAGCGACAGGCAGGTGTGACTGTTGTCTTAGGAATCATATTGGCTGCTGATGGGGGGCACTGCAGCCAGCTCACTGCTGCATGCTGGGCCTGTGCAGACGGTACGGGCTCAGCAGAGGAGGCAAGTGGTGCTAGGCATGACGTAACCGTGCTGTGGGGTTGGGCACAAGAAGCCAGAGCAGGAGGTGGCTGTCCCTGCTCCAGCTGAGTGCTGACCCGCCGCCCAACCCAGCCCTCCCCCCAGCCCTCCAGCCCTCCCCCCACCCCATTTGCGGTGTCCAGCAGGCGGGGTGGCTCTCACCTTGGCCTGGAGGTTCCGCAGGCAGATGACTGCTTCCTGATACTTCACCGCTGCTTCCTGGTACCTCTTGAGCAGGACCAGCCGGTTGCCCTCACTGTGCAACACGGGCACCGCCGACAGCTTCTCCTCTTTGTTCATGGCCCAGGTGTCCCGTTTATAGGACGAGGGATCATCCACCTGGTGTGTGTGGGCAGGGAACAGACCTTCACACTGCTGGCCATATACGCTCCTCAGACCACACCCAGGAGAGCTGGGCCCAGGGCTCCCCTGCCCCAGAGGGACTACCAGCCCGAGCTGGGCCCAGGGCTCCCCCTGCCCCAGAGGGACTACCAGCCCAGGCTGTGCCACGCTGAGCATTGCCACTTAGAACAGGTTGCTGTGGTCTGTCCTGACTCTGCTCTCGCTCACCCCAATTGCCTTTCCTCCCCCGGCCCAGGCCTTACTTTGAAAAGCTCCATGATGAAGATGAGAGGCTGGGGGGCCCTCTGCAGCTCATCCAGGTCCGCATACCCCGTGCTGTGGTAGTCGAACATGTTCCCCATCCCACAGCGGTGCTTCTGCCCCTCCAAGGGGTCCTTGCCCTCCGCAATCCTCCTCATGCCCTTGGAGACCAGCGCATACATACCTGTGTGCTGAAACATGGGGGGGGGGGGAAGAGGGGAAAGCGCCTTGGTTCAAGCATATGTACAAAACATTCCCCCTAGCCTGGAGGCCAGTGAGAGCAGATGCGGTGAGATGGTAATAGGAGGCACTTGCTCTCAGCAGGGAGGAAGTGGGGTTAAACCCCCTGCTTAAGGGCTGGGGCCTGGAATCTGGGTTAGGTATTCAGACGGCAGGGCCAGGAATACTGTAAAAGCAGCCGCCTGCTACAGCAGAAATAAATGGCACCTCTCCCTACAGGGCTGAGCTGGGGCTTTTCAGTCTGTCCTAGAGTTAGAACCTGCACCCACCAAACCTCAGGAATAAAAGGACTTGGTGAGGGAGGACATGCTGCTGGACTGAGCAGCCCAGTGCTCTAGCTCCCAGTGGGGGCAGGACGTGTGTGTATGCCAGTGCCCGAGCGATCCTGCCCAGAATGTACCTGTGGGCTGTGCACACGTCTAAGTGTTGGTACCTGTGTATGTTTTGGTGTCAACGCGTTGAGCATGCACAATGTGTGTGTGTATCTATCAGTGTCTGAAATCTAGGTGTTCCCAGCCAGAGGGGGTGTCACTCACAATAGCATCACACCAGAACTCTGCCACTTCTCCGATCCTCATGGAGGTTAGCAAGGTCTCCCACACCTCAATTTTGAACAGCTTCCCCACGATGATCTCCATGGGGATGCCAGCCTGCCGACTGTCATCTATCACTGTGCGCTCAAAGTCATCTTTTAGCGTCTGAAAGTGGAACGTGAGCTGCACCAAAGAGAGACAAGTGCAGAGTGGGTCAGCTGCAAACGTGACAGTGTGTGATCAGGTCACTGGAGTAGTAAGTAGCCTTCTCTCCCTCCCCTCTCCACCCTGGATCTTGGCTCCATCCCACCCTTGGGTCACTGAGAAGGGGTGACCATGACCCCAGCTTAGTGTTAGTTCACTCAGCTGCTCTCATGGGGTGAAGGGATAGGCCTCAGAGGCACTCCACCATCTGCTGTTTATTCATATTATATACAGCTGCTCTCTGCCAATACCCCTTTTTAACCCTACTCAGATAGGGCTCCAGTAGAGTGAACTTCCTCACAGCAGTGCCCTGCAAATATAGCATGCAAACTTCATAGCAGGGTTATTGCAAGCAAACCACAAAGAAACCCTTAGGTCCCACTGCTAGAGGCTTAGAACGCTGGCTATATGTACACACACACAAATGGCACCACATTATTCCCATTATCTGCTCCCTACATATATCCCTTAGCTGTGGATGTCACTGGCAAGCACCTTCGTTTCTTCTGTCTGCTGTGCTAATGTGGCTCCAGGAGCCTGAGCTGGATTACAACGTACAAAGCTGTCAGCTGGATTCTGGTGGCAGAACCTATTAGTGCTGTTGATGAAGGAGGCAGACAGAACACAGCTGGAATCTCAACGCCTGCAGCTCTGGCAGTTAAAAAAACCTGCCACCAGGTAAACTCAGCTAATTTGATCTGGACTCAATGAGAAAAGAAATCAGCTGTTTTTATTTTTAGAGTCACTTCTGACTCTGGGTGCTTTTAAAGGAGACACACATGCACAGAGGATTTCAGTAATAAGGGCTCTGAATCACCATCTACAGCTGGAGAGCCTGGGAGGCAGCTGCTGGGGAACTCAATACTGGCTGTCATTCGAGGGCATGGGCTAACATCTGACGTGCTCTATCCCTGCTCAGCCAGTTTGAGATGCTTGTTGAGAGTAGTTACCTTGCTCCCATCTTTGAATTGCGGCAGCTCCCCACGGCCTCCGTGTAAAATCTTTTTCTTGACTCCTTCCACGTTAAGCAGGTACATTTCATCCATGCTGAAGCTGTTGGTAGATCTCCCTCCTCCCCTCTTCGGTTGCTGGTCACACCCACTGTTGTTCTCTCTCTTCCTGGACCTGAGTGTTTCTTCGTTTCTTGTCCCTTGGGATGAGTTTTCTTCCTCCTGTGGCTCATCTAACAGTCTTTAGCTACTGCATCCTGACTTAAAGCTGCCCACCCTGAATGAGGCGGAGGCTGCACTGTCCCCTGAAGCCTTTTCTCCCTGGACTTCCCCTCGGTGGAGTTCTGCCCTTCAGGAGCAGAGAGAACTGAGCTGTACGGTAACCACCTTAAGGAGCCAGAGTGGCCCTGTTGTCTGCTATACTTCCTTACCCCTCTGTCTTCCCCTGTGGTACAGAAGACACTCCCACCCAACACTCTGTGGTGCATTCTGACAACTGCTGACTGGACTGCCTTTCTAATCCCCTGCCAGGTTAATCTAGGATTGGTCTCCCTAATCTACCGGGGATTAGAGAAAGCTCCCACCTCACAAGGGCTCTACCCAGTATGGGGTGGGAATCCCCCACACTGACAGCACAGTAGCAGCTTCCCACTTTTCCCTTGGGAGGGTCCCTCTTGTACCTAGCTCGCTCTCTGAGTGAGAAGGCAAGGCTGCTGCAGTACCCCACGACATTTACATTGACAAGCTCCAGGGAGCTCTGCTGCCATCGGTCTCCAGCTGGCAAAGGGACAGTGCCAGTCACAGCACAACTCTGAGGAAATGAGCATTACAGGACAGAGCAGGGTTGGAAACATACACACTTTATTCATTCTAGTTTTGTTCAAGGAGATGTTCCCCAAGCATGGGCACAAACTCCCACCACTGCAGACCCCTGTCAGAAAGTCTGTTAAGGAAGCAGATGTCCCCCTCAGAGAATGCTGGTTTGCAGGTTCAGATGATAGCAACAACCAGGTGATGCCCTGACCTGGTTCTGCTCCTCCAGGCCTGCGCAGTGCATGGGGGGGTTAATCCTGCCCTTTGCTCAGCACAGCTTTCTGGCACCATGAGCTAAGGTGACCCAGAGCGACAGGGCTGTGGATTAGCCTGTCGGGAAGCAAAGTGCCTTTGAAGGAGTTTTCCAAGGTATGAATGATTTCCACTTAGAGAAAGATGGGTCAAACTAGTCAAGGAACTATCTCCCCCAGTGGTGCAACTAAACCACTACCCATGTGTTTCTGCTGCTCTCAGAGGACCAACTCCAGATTAGTGCCTTTCTTTCTTCAAAGGTTAATGGTTTGGGCTACACTGTCCAGCACAAGGAACATCAGCCAGCAGCTCTAGAAACAGTGTCCAGGAGAATATAGAGTTCCAACATTAACAGGAGTAGGCTTATAGGCAGTGAGGTCGTGGCAGTAACGTCAGGTCTTCAGCACAGAGGATGGCTCCAGAACCCATGGGTGAAGCATCCATCTCAGCACTATGCCCGCTTGGCGGGTACAGCTTCTGCCCTGATCAAAAGCCCTCCTCACTTCTCCATAAGGGATTCCAGTTGTTCTTGCAGAGAGGTGAGCTGTGGAGAGAAGGTTGGAGGGGGAAGAAGTGAAGCATTAGAGATATTACATGTTTAAAACTTCTTAGATCTCTCTCTCATACCAAAGGGGTAATAATACTCTTCTTTCTATTCAAAGGGATCCCCAAAACTTTTTACAAACTATAGGTCTCGATAAAGACACCTACATGTAACTGCCTGAACAGAAATACCCATGTCTAAACGAGGTGCAGAATGAGCATGAGTCTCCTAATTCTGCCCCCAAATGGCATGTTAGATAACCAGTTACATGCACAAACATCTGATTTGCTTACACAACTGGAGTAGCTGTATGCACATATTCGGAGCATGTTTTTAAAAATCAGACTCAGATGTATGAACTGCCTTGTTCACAGCTGAAATGCAGCCACTTCTTGCACGTAACGCTGCAGCTGTCTACAGCAAACAACATTACGCCAGCCAGTAAGGGGCTGGCGGGGGACGGACGGACGGACGATAGTATCCAACTGAAACTGCAAGGAGAGATGCAAAGCAGCAGAATATAGTTACCCAGCTTAGTAATGTGCCAAGTGACCAGAGCTACGCCTGCTCTTCAGAAAGTGCTACTGTATCTTTAATGGACACACGTCATCAGGGTCTTCATTTTACATCTCACTCTCAATATGGCACCCTCAGCCTCAGAGCACCCTCTGGAACAACGCGGCTTGGCTCACTAGTGTTCCGGAGAGACAACCACCTACGGAATCACCATTTCCAGCAGCTCCGCTGGTCGTAGGCATTCTACTATGTTGATGCTGATCAGGTACAGCCCTGCTTAGCTTGTGGTAGCTGATGAGATCACAGCCTGAGGTGGTGTGGTGCAGGGCTCAGAGGGCTTTATACATTAAACTACTGGACAAGCGTGCAACGTGTTGCTTCCTAATGCTGAGAATCACTCAGCATCACCCCACAACACTGCATACTCGTTGCTTTCTTCTACAGGAATGTGGAGGAGACAGTAACAGAGGCTTCCTCACCTGCTGCTTCTCTCGGTCTTCCTGCTGTTTGAATTCATCCAGCACAGCCTGGAGACGGGTCTGGAAGAAAGACACAAGCAAGAACATAACTGTTGGTGCTTCTCGACAGCGGCCGTTTATGTAAAGAGAACAAATCTGCAGCCAGCAAATCTGACAGGCAGAAGAGTAAAGGGAACATAGCATGGATTGCAGGACCCTTATCTTCTTCTGCACAGTTCCATGGTTTGCTCTGCATCAGTCTCAGGTCATCCATGGATGACAGGCTGGAACGTATTCCTATAGCCACTTTCATCTTAAATTCCACATGGCAAGGCCGTTGGCTGCTCCGGGACAATAGAGTTAGATGCCTTCTGGTTCCATGCCTTCACTGCCTCAGCTGAGCTGAACAGGACCCCAGAAAGAATGCATTGTTTGGGCTAGAAGGACCAGATGGTGGACGGCACTCACCTTGAGAGCAAGATTCTCTACTTTCATGATGAGATCTTCCTGGCGCTTTCTCCGTTCCTGGGTCTCCTGGAGTTTACCCTTCAGGTTGTCAATCTGCTTTTGGATCCCCATGGCTAAGGGAGACAGCAGAAATTATCCACACCATAGTCTGAATTATAGCACTAGCAGAGCAATGTGCCAATCCCCCATGGCACCAAGCTTTCTAGGGTACTGCCCATCCTCGGCACCAACCCACCACTGCCTAAGACTGCTCACCTATCTGGTTTGTTCCCTCGTTCTCCTGCTGCTGCCCATCAGATTCATTCAGTTTGTCCTGAAGTTGCCTCTCCAAGTCTTCTTCTGTGTCCATGATATTCAAATCTTCATCATCATGATGATCTCTCTCATCTTCATCTTCGCTGCTGCTGCTGATGTCATTAAATATCTCCCGCAACTCATCATGTTCTAGGGGTGTGAAACAAGGAGAAAAACATTGAGTTGATGAACTCCCATCAGGTTCTGGTGTGTCCTCAACTCTCCCTGAAAGGCACTGCACATCCCTATGGCTGTCAGGCATAGTTTTCTGTATTCAGTGTCTATTGCGACAGAGTTGGGCCAGATGGCTACAGGAGAGTGATAGAAGGCAGATATATTAGCCCCAGATTAAGCAGATCCCTTTTCCTTGGGTAAGGAAACAGGGGCAGTTCCAGAACAATCCCGAACTTGCTGGAATCATTAAGGCAGGCAGGCTAATTAGGAGCCAATTGGCACTGGAGCAATTAAGAAGCCGCTAGAATCAATTAAGACAGGCAGGCTAATCAGACCACCTGGTTTAAAAAGGACCTCACTTCACTCAGTGAGGGGTGTGCAAGGAGCTGAGAGTGAGAGGGTGTGCTGCTGGAATTCTGAGGAGTACAAACGCTATCTGGCATCAGCAGGAAGGTCCTGTGGTGAGGATAAAGAAGGTGTTGGGAGGAGGCCATGGGGAAGTAGCCCAGGGAGTTGTAGCTGTTACACAGCTGTTACAAGAAACACAGTAGACAACTGTGATCCACAAGGCCCTGGGCTGGAACCCGGAGTAGAGGGCGGGCCCAGGGCCCCCCATCCCCCTCTTCCCTATTGGATATAAGAGGAATTGACCTGGACTGTGGGTCCCACCAGAGGGGAAGGTCCTGGGCTATCCCCAGACCCACTAGGTGGATCAGCAGAGACTGCAGCGATTGTTCTCCTTCCTTTTTCCCCCTGCTGGCCAGTGATGAGGTTAGCTGAGTGAACGGCAGGTTTGAGCCACTAGCAAAAGTGGCCAAACTGAGGGCTGCCTTGAATCTCCAAGGCGAGCAAATCTGCTAATAAGCGCAGGACCCACCAAGGCAGAAGTGGAACTTTGTCACACTTATCTAAACACGCCTATCGTCCTTAACCTTCCTTATGGGATCCAATAGACTATAAGTAGATTAATTCAAGACCCAGAAAATATTGATTTTCTCTCTTCTGCCATGTTCACTAGAATGGCAAATGCATATCTGCTTGAGCAAACTATTATTGTCCTGTTCTCTCATAACAATGAGCACAACCTCAGCATCCAACTCTGCTCCTACAGTAAAGTACCACTCATGTGTAACTACCCCATAGAGACCAAAACCAGGTGACCCTGCCTTCTGGCAGCAAAATGACGTTACTAAAAGCATAAGCCTTCGTCAATGTACCCGATGAGCCATGGCCTTGCTTGTGTCCAGACATCCCAGGAGAGGAGATGTCCAAGCCGGTGAGTGAACCATGGTTGTCTGCTTCCTTTGTTTCATCTTCAGCAATAACTTCCCAGCCTGAGAGCAGATACAGAAGAGTCAAGGAAAAACCAGAAGAATGACAGAAGGTGGTACCAGCAAGAGCCCACTGACAGCAAGGTGCTAGAAGATTCTCCAGCTGACACTACATCAGGGATGACTCCAGTCTCTCTTGGTATGCCTCTCTAATTCTGCACTGTGTTGGCAGGGTCACGCAGGCCTATTTCTGTGAAGGCCTGTCTTCTGGAGATGATGCAGCCAGTTACCCCAGCGTCAGGAGTAGCAGATGCACGTGTGTGGACACGCCCACAAGGAGGGCTGACGAATGCCAGAGAGAGGTCCTTGAGGAGAAGCAGCAGGTTTTGAATAGGGTAAAAGCTCAAGCTATAACTTCAGTGTCTGTCACATGCTCATGTCCTGCCTGCTGCTACCCATGTGTATTGTGAGATTAACTTAACTTCTCTCTCCTCTGAGCCTCCCTCAGCCACTCTCCTGCTCTGCAGAGTTAATCAGAAGAAAGGATACGGACACTGACAGCTTCAGCATCTGTACTCAGCAGACGCTTCACCTCCTTTTCCACGTCTGGAGACTCAATGTACTGGGCCAGAGAGGGGAAAGAGAGAAGAGACGGTGTTAAACACCCCTGGACAGACAGTTCTCCAATTCAGAGATATCTTGGCTGTTGGCCGCCTCCCACACCCCATCCCAGCCCCTTATTTTAAGGCTCTTTCATTTTACTCTTTTACTTTAGACTTTGAGCTCACTCATCCCACCGGAAGACTCTCCCTTGCCACTACCTGCCTTTCAGGACAGTGTTCCATCTTCCTCACCTTTGCCTCAAAGCTCCTGGATGAGCTGAATCTTCTCACTGCCCTGACTTCGGCTCCATTCTCACACTCCCAACACCACCTCTGAATAAAAGCCAGCCTGATTGTATGGCATATAAGAACTCCCCAAGGCTGAATTCATTTCTGAATCCTCAATAAAAGGCCTCCTCATTACACCCCCAGGTTTGAAAGTCAGCTGCTGAATCACAACAAGGTTTCACTTTTTATGATTATTAAATTTGTTGGGAACACTGGCAAGTGCTGCTGCACTTCTCCTAGGGGAAAGTCTCAGTGCTTCCAGGGTCTGGTTTCCCTAATGTTCCACTGAAATATTGCTCCATTGTGTCAAAGTGAAGTGCAAAGCAGAGAGCAATTAATTCTCCCAGTCTGTACCACAATGGGCAGCCACTTAGCATAGCCTTCATTTCCCCTCCAGAGTCCTTTATTACTGGGGGCTTCTGCACAAAGACAGGATTGGAAGGGTTCATCTGCTCTCACTTCCCTTCTGAAGTCATGATTTTCTGGATGCTGCATTGTAGCTGGTTGCTCTGAAAATGTTTGGGCCCCACCCAGAGGACTGGGATTTCAGGTGAGGAAAGAGGAGGAGCAGATAAACACTCTTGTGTCCATGCAGATATTTCTAGTAATTCAGAAGGAGAGACACACTGTATACAAAATGGACACACAGAATTGATCCACTCCTGCACAGTGAGATTTCCCCACCCCAGGACATCTTTCAAAATTCAGCCAGGAGATTGCCAAGAAAATGTTAAAATGTCCTAGCTGCCTTCCCCCGTGCTCCATCCGAGTGAGGTATGAAGCAAAGTTAATAAAGCCCACGTTATAAGAATTCATAGTGCAAAGACAGATTGTTAAGCGCCTGACCCACCTAGGCACAGTACTAATGTCTTCTTCTGTCCCCCACCTTTGGGCATCATTCCTCAGACACCATGGGTGCCACCATGGATGAGGAGATGCAACTCACCTTCTTCTTAGCGGTTTTCCTGAACCGCCTCTTCCTTACATTCTTCAGAGGAAGAGTAACTGGAACAAAGGAAACAGGCTTTGTGTCAGGCATGTGATCTCAGGGGAAAGTCTCATGCATGACAGACTCACTGCATCTGAGTACAGGAAACTCCCACTTCAGGATGTGAGAGATCCAGCAGCATTTTGGTGGCCTGAGGGCAACGTTCTCAACTATACAGCTGAGCGAGGAGCCCTGGTAGACTACCCCTGTGTTGTCCAGGATGGAGGAGCAGGCCGGGGGGCGGTGAGCCGTGGGACCTAGGGGTCAGGCCAGCGTAAGATAGGTAAAGCACCCTGTACTCTACTCACTGCCATGGTTCCAGATGAATTTCTTCTCTCTGTCCTTGTCCTTTTTCTTGTTTGCCTTGGGGTCAGTACTCACAGCTGGCTCTTCCAGAGGAGGGTAGAGATCACCGTCCACAGTACACACGAGCATCTAAAGCCCAGAACATAAAGGAGCCGATTATAATGTGAGAGCAGAGCTACTCAATTAAATTAAAGGCTGGTATATTTACAACATATAGAAGGAAATGCTACTCCCTACAGCATGTAATCAGCTTCTGGGATTTACTGGCATAGCTGACAAAACCACCTTTTCTGGATGGATCAGTTTATGTCCAACCTCCTCTTCAGTTAGAAGGGTGCAGAAGTCAGGAAAGCAATTGCCAACTACTATGCTGCGGTGGGACATTTTACACCACAGCTGCTCCACTCACATTCTGAGGATGTGGAAATTAGCAGTGGGGTACCATAAGTTGCACTGCCATAAGTAATGGGTCAGACTTTTGTCTGAAGGGAGCAAGCACAGGACACCAGAGTAAATATAATGGGCAGCCCATACCTGACAAATATCCGCTGTCTTATAGAATGTTTTCTTATCTATGGTTTTTAAGCTCTCGGTGATGCAGGGCAGGTCCACCAGCTTGGCAGCTAATGGGACGCGATCTACACGGACAATCCCATGACGCCCATCCGCTGCAGAAAAAAACAAGAGACAAATTAATGCAGCGGCCAACACAGTAAATGGCGAACCCCTTATGATGCATTCCTAGGCCAAACACTTTAAAACTCCTGAGTGAACTGGAGGTGCACAGAACTGTCTGGTATTTTCCTGTGAAATCTGTGATGCTCTTAGCAGCAAGATAACTACAGATAGACTCACAGAAAATACCTTTGAAGGAGAGGAAGGAACAGTGGGGTATGCTCTATAGCTATGGCTCTACTAACAGCTAGAGGCAGAGCTTTCTTGCCTTTGAATCCTCCAGGGCAGGACTGGGAATCTGCTGATGGAGCTGAGGTAGAAAGAAGATTCTTGGGATTTCCTCCAGGGCCAGTGACTTATGCCCGTGTTAGTAAGATGGCTCTACCCATGTGATTAGTATTTTACCTTCAGAAACACAAATATTCACATCACAATCTCTGGCAAACAGTGAGACGCCCATTAAGTGAGGTGCAGAGAAAAGAGAAAGGCAGCTCAGGCCAATCACATTAGAGAAGAGGTGGTCTATGCATACCCTCTTTATTGAGGTTATTGGCCAAGCAGGTTTTCACAGGATGTGAAACTTGTCCAGTTGGGGAGTGTGCAGCTTTCATCTACTTCACTAAGATGAACTTCTCCTCTGGGTCTCCCAATAGGAAACCAGTTCTTGGTTAGATGCCAGGCACATTTCCACCAGAAATCAGACACCCACATTGCTCAGTGCACCCTTCTCAACATGTCTGCATGATCCCCAGGGAATCCCTGATGTCTCTTCCCACTCTGGGCTCTGCAAGTCAAGTCACACTCTTTCAAAGCCTGCAGTACTCCCTCCTGAGCTGAGAGATTAAAGGCTACTTGGCTACTCACGGTGTAATTCGATAGTAAGTCTATCCTTCAGGTTGACACTTCCAGATTGTACTGCCCTCCTCACAGTGGAGGCATATTCCTGAGAAAAAGCAGATGAATGAGACAGGACTAGACCTGTGTGTGTTACCTGGTAGAATGGCTAAAGAGATAATCTGCTTTCAAACCCAATTTTAATCAGTACTTTTATCTAAACACAGAAACCCACTGAAAAGTGCCATTAAACACAGGAAGAAAGCAGCATTTCTCCTAGAAGTGTGCATTAACCTCATGGCTATGCTATTCCCAATGTACCTCACAACTAGCAACCTAATGTAACTTGGGAAAGATTCTATTGCTGGTTTAAGGTCCCTTGTTTTTATGGTACCCCATGTTTTTATGAACTGCTCATGTCTATTTTATTTATGGTGTGTGACAGACCCTTTCAGCAGAACTCAGATGCCCACTCTTACAGCTCCTCTACAGTGCCCTTGTGGATAACCAGAGGGGCTCCATCAGGATCAAGGGGAAGATGCCTCATCAGCGTGTTATTTGAAGAAGCTTCTTCCCAGATTAAGCATTTATTGATTGAGATTAACTGCACCAAAAGTGAATGATAGAACTGATCACTGGCAATGAGGACCAACTGAACTATCACTTGTAAATGCTTGGCCTTGATCTGCTGCACAACACCATAGTTTCTCCAAGCAGCAGTGCACCCGGATGCATCTCACAAGCATAGTCATGAACAGGAATGGGTAGAAGGCTGGTTTATGAGGGATCATTTAAGGTAGCTACATTACAAACAGGCGGGGTTCAGTAAAAATAGCCAATCTGCTTCAATATTTCAGACAGGGTCTGTAGAATTCCTATTGCTTTCACCCATCTCTTTAAACCCTCTCTACCCTGAGTTGCTGCTCTACACCTTCGAAACTGGGGCTGGACTGGATGGGTGCCTTGGGAACTTGGTGATTTTTGCAGAGCAATGGTAGTCTTGTGTGGGAATGATCCTCCCACTGGCCCAGATCTAAGGGTCTCTTACCGGAGGCAGCCGCAGAATAAACTGGCTTTCCAGCTCATGGGGAGCGTCATCCTTGTTCTTACTCATCTTTAGTTCTTGAGGTCAGAAAACAAAATAAAACACAACGTCACCAAGATGTTTGTTCAGTCTGTTTTGACCTCCCACAGTTGATGGCTACTAAGTGTTTATAAATAAAGTGAATATTCTCCCTGTTATATTACTAGGAACCGTACGTGCCGGCCGCTGAGATGCAGACCGATGGGATAGACACTTAACTCAGAAACTCCTTAATTGACAAAGCTAAACAATTTCTGCTGCTGGTCCCCAGTGTTTACATTCTGTCACCAAATTTCTGTAGGCTCTCCCTTATATGAATCAAAACAAAGTACAAAATAGTCCTGATCACAAGGATGCATTTGGGACGTGATATAAGAATTTATGCCTACACACACACACACACAGCAAGGAAGAGCTTAAGTGAGAGACAAGAGCTGAAAAGAGCAAGAGCAGTTTCTGTGACCACATGGGATTCATTTCTGGTTATTTAGGGTACGATTTTCTAAAACACTCAGTGTTGGCCTAACTGCTCCTACTGATATCAGTGTACAGCTCTCAGTTACTTCAATAGGAACAGAGTGAGGCCAACACTTTGCACTTTTTAGCATCCCACCCTTAAATTCTATCAAATAAGGTTCTGCTCTTAAAAAGTACATGATCAATATTCTGTTTTCATGACAGCAACTTTAATATAACATTACAAAGGGGGAGAGAGTGGATGTCTCTATCAGTTATGTATCTGATGTTACAATTACCTGTGAACAGAAGAACACAGAGGTGAAATCATGCATTGACTGAAGTATCTGGTATACTGGTCTAATAGGTCTGCACAGCTAGGTGAGAAACTCAGAGTACTATTTCCTGTCCTGCTGTCTTGCTCCTAGAATGGTGGTGCTTAGTGCTCAGCCACATATAGCACAAGCCTCCTGTAACAATATTCAACCCCAAGACCTCCAGCAACACGAAGGGCATCCTGCCCACTTTTACTCGCTAAAAGATGCCATTAACACAGTAAGACAATATCATCATCTTCAGGTCACAATAAGAGACAATGGAGAACTTGTAGGAAGAAAGACACACTTTTGATTCTGCTCCATTAAGTTTATCACATGCACTAAAGATATGTTTTCATTATACTCAGAACTTCTCTGAAAGGAGGACATTCCAGGTGTATAACTCTCAAGCAGAAGCCCAGGAAGAGGCACCTGAGGGAGGCAGCATTCTGTGCATGTGAATCTAACACAGAAGCACAGGAACCCTGCACTCCACATTAGAAACTTGCGTTTAAGTATCAGGAGTCCTGGACAATGGGAATATCTCCTTAACGAAGCACCAACGGTGAATCCATAGCTAAGGGCTTGTCTACACTGGGGGGAGGGAGGGGAAGGGAGAGGAGGAAATGGAGCAGGGTGTTTCAACAGGTGGTGATCAATGCATTGGTGGTCGATTTAGCGGGTCTACTGAAGACCCGCTAAATCGACCGTTGATCGCTTTCCCATCTACTCCTGTACTCCACCTCCGAAGGAGAAGAGCAAGGGAAGTCGACGTGGAACGTCTCCAGTTGACATTGCCTAGTGTGGACCCCGCAGTAAGTAGATCTAAGTATGTCGGCTTCCGCTACATTATTCACATAGCTGAGGTTGTGTAACTTAGATCAATCTCCCCCCGTAGTGTAGACAAGGCCCATGGCTGCATCAGGATTTTCCTTGGGGGCCTTAGAAGTCATATATACATGGAGCATATGTTGTTTGTTCTACAGATTCGATTTCAGCCCTAACAGCTTGCTGTTCTCCTTTTGATACTTTCAAAGAGTCAAAGGGAACACAGGTTTCAGAGGAACAGCCGTGTTAGTCTGTATTCGCAAAAAGAAAAGGAGTACTTGTGGCACCTTAGAGACTAACCAATTTATTTGAGCATGAGCTTTCATGAGCTACAGCTCACTTCATCAAAGCTCATGCTCAAATAAATTGGTTAGTCTCTAAGGTGCCACAAGTACTCCTTTTCTTTTAAAGGGAACACACTGAACTTATTAGGCTATGTCTACGCTACCACGGTAAGTCGACTTACGCTATGCAACTCCAGCTACGTGAATAACATAGCTAGAGTTGACATACCTTAGGTCGAGTTACTGCGAGGTCTATACTGTGGGGGGTTGACAGGAGAAATTCTTGTCGGGAGTAGAGTAAGGGGTCAATTGGAGAGCAATCTGCAGTCGATTTGGCGGGCCTTTACTAGACCTGCTAAAGCGACTGCTGATGGATCGATCTCAGAGCCTTGATCTGCCCTGACTTTGGAGTATCCTTTTTCCAGAGAGGAAGCAGAGACAGAGAGACCCAGCACCAAGGAGACATAAGCAAACAAATTCATTACTTGTAGATGTCATCTTGCCTCTTCTTGCTTCACACAAATGTTTATAAACACCTGTATCATTCAAAAGCCAAATACAAATGCCCAAAGGGAAAAAAAAGAAAAGAAAATCAGTTTTTAAAAAAATAAAATAAATGAAATAAAGTGATGGGGGTAGAATAAAAAAAAGAACAAAATAAATTTAAAAACCGCATTTCTAAGTGAGAAGCGATTACCTGCTATTGCAAGAGCTGAGAGGGGAAATACCAGTCCTCCCCTCCACCCCACATTTCAGTAGCCCTGACAGGACCCTGCAAGCCTTTGGGCGGACCCCTCCGACCACCCCCCATGTCAGTCAGCGGCCGGGGGCGGGGCCGTTCACACGGCGAGCGGGGACCAGACACAGGCTGTAATCGCGGTGCCTAGGGCGGATGTGACATCTCCGCGGCGCGTCCCCGGGCTCAGAGCGGGGCGAGCGGCTGGGTCCCAGGACACGAGCTCGGCGGTGTCCTTGTTCCAGCACCGGGGCAACTGCCGGGCAGGCGAAGCGATGGGGGCGGGGGCACTGGCTGAGACGGTCCCGGAACCCGCGCGCAGCGGGGGCTCGCGACCCCGAAGGGCCTAGGCCGGGGTTGCGCGCCCGGTTCCCCGCTACTCACCGGGCCCCAAGCGAGGGCCCCTCGCAGCAGGGGCGGAAGGCACAAGCGACGCGCCCCCCTCCCGGCGCCGGTTCCGGAGGAAGGGTTTGGATGACTCACCGGAAGCGGAAGTGAAGGGCGAGGCGCTCCCGCTCGGTGTCTCGTTCCCCGCGCGGGCTCCGGAGGAAGGGTTTGGATGACTCACCGGAAGCGGAAGTGAGGGGCGAGGCGCTCCCACACTGGCTCTGGAGCAGGGGGTTGGCTGAAGCTGTGGAAGCGGTCCGGGGAGCTGCAGCAGGTACCGGCGAGGAAGGGGCGGGGCTCTGTGCTTGCTGCCCCCGGTCGCGGTACCGTGGGCGAGTGGTGCTATCTGCGTTGACAGGACCCGGGGCTCCTGCCCCCTTATAAGCTGTGGTGTGTCTCGGGGGCCCCGCCCCGGGGCTCCTGGGTTCCCGCGGTGTGGGGTGAGGCCCGCCTGGTGGACGGGGCTGTCAGCAGCGTATCACGCCCAGCGCTGCCTGCGCTCCCCCGACCGTGTGAGGCCCCCCCCGGGACAGTGCCCTGCCCGCGGAGATTGATGATCGCCGGGCGGGGTTCGGCACTCGCTCCGGAAAGGGGAGCCTGGTTCCTAGCGGGGAGCAGCACTTGGGGGTCGGTTGCAGTTGGGCTCTCAGGGTATGCCTGCACTACGAAATTAGGTCGAATTTGTAGTAGTCGGTTTTTAGAAAGGTTTCAGAGTAACAGTGGTGTATTCGCGAAAAGAAAAGGAGTAGTTGTGGCACCTTAGAGACTAACCAATTTATTTGAGCATAAGCTTTCGTGAGCTACAGCTCACGAAAGCTTATGCTCAAATAAATTGGTTAGTCTCTAAGGTGCCACAACTACTCCTTTTTTTTTTTTGCGATTTTTAGAAAGCGATTTTATACAGTCGATTGTGGGTGTCCCCACTAAGCGCATTAATTCAGCCAAGTGCGTCCTCACTACCGTGGTTAGTGTCGACTTTCGGAGCGTTGCACTGTGGGTGGCTATCCCACAGTTCCTGCGGTCTCCGCTGCCCATTGGAATTCTGGGTTGAGCTCCCAATGCCTGATGGGGCAAAAACATTGTCACAGGTGGTTTTGGGTACATATCGTCAGTCGCCCCTCCCTCCGTGAAAGCAATGGCGGACAATCGTTTCACGCCTTTTTTCCATGCAGGCGCCAAACTGCCTTCAGCAGACGGTACAGTAGGACTGCTAAATGTCGTCATCGAACCACCGCTTCCGCTGCAACTCTGCTCTCCTGCTTTTGTCTCGATAGCAAATTTCTCCATGTTGTCTCTCATGGGCTCCTGCTTCCGCTGCAGCTCTGCTTTCCTGCTCTTGTCTCGCCATAACATGGCAAGCGTGCAGCCCGCTCAGCTGTTGTGTCCTGGCAGTAGACTGTGCAGTAGGTCTAGAAACCATTGTCACTGAACGACCGCTTCCACTGTCATTCTGCTCTCCTGCAGACGCTATACCACGGCAAGCATAGAGCCCGCTCAGATCACTGCTGCAGTTATGAGCATTTTAAGCACTTCACGCATTATCATGCAGTATATGCAGAACCAGAACCTGCAAAAGCAGGCGAGGAGGCGATGGAAGCGCGGTGACAAGAGCGATGAGGACATGGACACAGACTTCTCTCAAAGTACGAGCCCCAGCAGTTTGGCCATCCTGGTGGCAATGGGGCAGGCTCATTCCATGGAACGCCAATTCTGGGCCCGTGAACAAAGCACAGACTGGTGGGACTGCATAGGGTTGCAGGTCTGGGATGATTCTCAGTGGCTGCGAAACTTTCGCATGCGTAAGGGCACTTTCATAGAACTTCGTGACTTGCTTTCCCCTGCCCTGAAGCCCAAGAATACCAAGATGAGAGCAGCCCTCACAATTCACAAGCGAGTAGCGATAGCCCTCTAGAAGCTTGCAATGCCAGACAGCTACCAGTAAGTCGGGAATCAATTGGGAGTGGGCAGATCTACTGTGGGGGCTGCTGTGATCCAAGTAGCCAACGCAATCTCTGAGCTGCTGCTATCAAGGGTAGTGACTCTGGGAAATGTGCATGTCATAGTGGATGGCTTTGCTGCAATGGGATTCCCTAACTGTGGTGGGGTGATAGACGGAACCCATATCCCTATCTTGGCACCGGAGCTCCAAGGCAGCCAGTACATAAACCGAAAGGGGTACTTTTCAATGGTGCTGCAAGCACTGGTGAATCACAATGGACGTTTCACCAACGTCAATGTGGGATGGCTGGGAAAGGTACATGATGCTCTCATTTTCAGGAACGCTGGTCTGTATGAACAGCTGCAGCAAGGGATTTACTTTCCAGACCAGAAAATAACCGAAAAATGTTGGTGTACTGTGGGGCCATGTGAGTACCCATAGCAGTGCCGCTGATTTGAAGGTATACATTGTCCCCAAATCTGAAATAGTTATGGGTGAGGACAAAGTCACAAAATTCGGCCACCAGGTTTGCCGTGACATTATCGGGGTTACTGTTCCTGATGGCTTGTAGTTCAGCTTTGTGTGGAATGTTGGTGTAGAGGGCTTCTTCATCCATAGTGGCCAGGATGGTGTTTTCAGGAAGATCACCGATGGATTGTAGTTTCCTCAGGAAGTCAGTGGTGTCTCGAGGATAGCTGGAAGTGCTGGTACCGTAGGGCCTGAGGGGGAGTCTACATAGCCAGACAATCCTGCTGTCAGGGTGCCAATGCCTGAGGTGATGGGGCGTCCAGGATTTCCAGGTTTATGGATCTTGGGTAATAGATAGAATACCCCAGGTCAGGGTTCCAGGGGTGTGTCTGTGCGGATTTGTTCTTGTGCTTTTTCAGGGAGTTTCTTGAGCAAATGGTGTAGTTTCTTTTGGTAATCCTCAGTGGGATCAGAGGGTAATGGCTTGTAGAAAGTGGTGTTGGAGAGCTGTCTAGCAGCCTCTTCTTCATATTCCGACCTATTCATGATGACGACAGCATCTCCTTTGTCAGCCTTTTTGATTATGATGTCAGAGTTGTTTTTGAGGCTGTGGATGGCATTGTGTTCTGCACGACTGAGGTTATGGGGCAAGTGATGCTGCTTTTCCCCATTTCAGCCCGTGCACGTCGGCGGAAGCACTCTATGTAGAAGTCCAGTCTGTTGTTTTGACCTTCAGGAGGAGTCCACCCAGAATCCTTCTTTTTGTAGTCTTGGTAGGAAGGTCTCTGTGGGTTAGTATGTTGTTCAGAGGTGGGTGGGAAATATTCGTGGAGTTGGAGTCGTCGAAAATAGGATTCTAGGTCACCACAGAATTCCAACCCCTCAGACAGAGACAAACACCTACAAGATCTCTATCAAGCATTTTTACAACTACAATACCCACCTGCTGAAGTGAAGAAACAGATTGACAGAGCCAGAAGTCCCCTACTACAGGACAGGCCCAACAAAGAAAATAACAGAACACCACTAGCCATCACCTTCAGCCCCCAACTAAAACCTCTCCAATGCATCATCAAGGTTCTACAACCTATCCTGAAGGACGACCCATCACTCTCACAGATCTTGGGAGACAGACCAGTCCTTGCTTGCAGACAGCCCCCCAACCTGAAGCAAATACTCACCAGCAACCACACACCAGAACCACTAACCCAGGAACCTATTCTTTGAACAAAGCCCGTTGCCAACTGAGTCCACATATCTGTTTACGGGACACCATCTTACGGCCTAATCACATCAGCCACATTATCAGAGGCTCATTCATCTGCACATCTACTAATGTGATATATATCATCATGTGCCAGCAATGCCCCTCTGCCGTGTACATTGCTCAAACTGGACAGTCTCTATGTAAAAGAATAAATGGACAAAAATCAGATATCAAGAATTATAATATTCAAAAACCAGTCGGAGAACACTTCAATCTCTTTGGTCGCTCGATTACAGACCTAAAAGTGGCAATTCTTCAACAAAAGAACTTCAAAAACAGACTCCAACGAGAGACTGCTGAATTGGAATTAATTTGCAAACTGGATACAATTAACTTAGGCTTGAATAGAGACTGGGAGTGGAGGGGTCATTACACAAAGTGAAACTATTTCCCCATGTTTATTCCCCCCCTCCACTGTTCCTCAGACATTTGATTATCACTATTACCACCTTGATTATCACTACAAAAGCCTTTATTTCCCCCCCCCCCCCCGCTCTCCTGCTGGTAATTGCTCACCTTAAGTGATCACTCTCGTTACAGTGTGTATGGTAACACCCATTGTTTCATGTTCTCTATGTATATAAATCTCCCCACTGCATTTTCCACTGAATGCATCCGATGAAGTGAGCCGTAGCTCACAAAAGCTTATGCTCAAATAAATTTGTTAGTCTCTAAGGTGCCACAAGAACTCCTTTTCTTTATAGTTATCCTTGGGGACCCAGCCTACCCCTTAATGTCATGGCGCATGAAGCCATACACAGGCAGCTTGGACAGTAGTCAGGAGCTGTTCAACTATAGGCTGAGCAAGTGCAGAATGGTGGTAGAATGTGCATTTGGATGTTTAAAAGCGTGCTGGCGCAGTTTACTGACTCGCTTAGACCTCAGTGAAACCAATATTCCCATTGTTATTACTGCTTGCTGTGTTCTCCACAATATCTGTGACAGTAAGGGGGAGACGTTTATGGCGGGATGGGAAGTTGAGGCAAATTGCCTGGCCGCTGATTACGCGCAGCCAGACACCAGGGTGGTTAAGAAGA